TCTTATCTACATTGTCTATCACCCTGAGACACACATTGTATGTGACTGTCTGATCTACATTGTCTGTCACCCTGAGACACACATTGTATGTGACTGTCTGATCTACATTGCCTGTCACCCTGAGACATACATTGTATTTCACAGACTGATCTACATTGTCTGTCACCCTGAGACACACATTGTAAGTGACAGTCTGATCTACATTGTCTGTCACTCTGAGATACACATTGTATGTGACTGTCTGATCTACATTGCCTGTCACTCTGAGACACACATTGTATGTGACAGTCTTATCTACATTGTCTATCATCCTGAGACACACATTGTATGTGACAGTCTGATCTACATTGCCTGTCACTCTGAGACACACATTGTATGTGACTGTCTGATCTACATTGTCTGTCACCCTGAGACACACATTGTATGTGACAGTCTGATCTACATTGCCTGTCACCCTGAGACATACATTGTATGTGACAGTCTGATCTACATTGTCTGTCACCCTGAGACACACATTGTATGTGACTGTCTGATCTACATTGTCTGTCACCCTGAGACATACATTGTATTTGACAGTCTTATCTACATTGTCTGTCACCCTGAGACACACATTGTATGTGACAGTCTTATCTACATTGTCTATCACCCTGAGACATACATTGTATGTGACAGTCTTATCTACATTGTTTGTCACCCTGAGACACACATTGTATGTGACAGTCTGATCTACATTGTCTGTCACCCTGAGACATACATTGTATGTGACAGTCTTATCTACATTGTCTATCACCCTGAGACACACATTGTATGTGACAGTCTTATCTACATTGTCTATCACCCTGAGACACACATTCTATGTGACAGTCTTATCTACATTGTCTATCACCCTGAGACACACATTACATATGTGACTGTCTGATCTACATTGTCTGTCACCCTGTTACTTCAGTCACTGTATGTTTTAGACCTAGATTTGATGACCAGTGACATTGTTCTTGTTTCCAGATGGATGTCAGTCTTCAAGAAACCCAGGATGGGTACAAATGGTTACGTTGCCATGGAAACTACGCCCCTGCTGTTGTCGTTCAAGTGAGACCTGGGACGTTCGAGGAAGTGAAGAAGATCTACATGAAGCTCAACCCCGACCTTCACGCCCAACAGTTCAAGTACCCAAAGTTTATCAAGCACAAGGACGTTGTAGCTTTTCTGCTCTCCCGCAGAGTGAAGTCTACGAGCTGATGACGTCTATCAGCTGATTAATAACATACAGCATTTCCTCTAATAAGCGCCGGGCCCCTAATAAGCGCCGGGGGTAAAGCAGCGGTTTAAGAAATAAGCGCCAGGCCTCTAATTAGCGCCTGGTCTCTTATAAGCGCAGGGTGAGGTTTTTTATAAATGTATTCTCCCTTGATCCAAAAATAGATTTATTAAGGAATGGTCCCCAAGTTCACTCACAATTAATTACGGTAGACCCAGTAAACGCAATAAGCGCAAGACCTCCCCAAAACGCCTGGGTTGGAATCCTGGCGCTTATTAGAGGAAATACGGTACCTTGTGTATCATAAATCAACTCTTTCTGCAGATCCCATAACATGCTTTCTGTATGCCAAATCAAGTATACCAGCATATGTCATATCAAGTCTTGTGTATGCTGTACCTGTTGGTAGTGTACCTGTTGGTCTCCTAAATTCTGACGGATGCCAAATCTAGTCTACCTGCTGATCTTTAAACGTTAGGTATATGCTAAATCTAGTCTATTTATTGGTCTTAAAACGTCTGGTATATGCTAAATCTAGTCTATTTATTGGTCTTAAAACGTCTGGTATATGCTAAATCTAGTATATTTATTGGTCTTAAAACGTCTGGTACATGCTAACTCTAGTCTACCTGCTGATCTTAAAACGTTAGGTATATGCTAAATCTAGTCTATTTATTGGTCTTAAAACATCTGGTATATGCTAAATTGAGTCTATTTATTGGTCTTAAAACGTCTGGTATATGCTAAATCGAGTCTATTTATTGGTCTTAAAACGTCTGGTATATGCTAAATCGAGTCTATTTATTGGTCTTAAAACGTCTGGTATATGCTAAATCTAGTCTATTTATTGGCCTAAAAACGTCTGGTATATGCTAAATCGAGTCTATTTATTGGTCTTAAAACATCTGGTATATGCTAAATCTAGTCTATTTATTGGTCTTAAAACATCTGGTATATGCTAAATCTAGTCTATTTATTGGTCCTAAAACATCTGGTATATGCTAAATCTAGTCTATTTATTGGCCTTAAAACGTCTGGTATATGCTAAATCTAGTCTATTTATTGGTCCTAAAACATCTGGTATATGCTGAATCTAGTCTATTTATTGGTCCTAAAACATCTGGTATATGCTGAATCTAGTCTATTTATTGGCCCTAAAACGTCTGGTATATGCTGAATCTAGTCTATTTATTGGTCTTAAAACGTCTTACAAGTGTGTGCTTTATGTTTTCCACTTGTCGATCTTATATCCTTCCTGACGTCAGCAGATCACGGTTACCTTGTAACAAGCATGGTGTATGCTTAATCAATGCTTATATGACATGTCCAATAAAGAAGAAAATATTTCATGTGCAAGGTGTCCATGTCACTTGACCTTACACAATTTGTGAATGAGTGAGTGAGTTTGGTTTTAGTCACCTGCGTTGATGTAGTCGAGGATGATGTGGTGACACTGAATACCCCACATAATCGAACACAGCCCTTGAAATGTTGTTCAACTGTAAATCATTTATTGTTCGAACTGAGCTAACGTTCTATCCAGTTGTAGACGTCGATCAACGCATCCCCGTTCTCTGGGGGAGAGGCAGAGCTCGATTTAGTGCTTTGTTACTTGCACTGGTGCAACACAATATTACAAAGTGCAACCTAGTTATGAGTCTAACTTGCACCAGGTGCAAGTCAATTTTTGAGAAATAAATCAACAATAAATCTAACATTATAGCACAAATATGTCAGCTCATTTTTCTTCTAAACTTTGAATAGCTATGACACTGAAATATTACTATTCATATACACGTTTTGGCTATGACAGCTCTTGTAAACAGGGATCAGCTGTGTCTCTGTGTTCCTAGGTTTCATAGGTACTACATCACGGAAATATGTTTATGTGCACCGAAACATCTAATGTTTTACCACACTAGGTTGCAACTGGAATTTGGCTGGTGCAACTAGGTTTTTATCTTAGGTTGCACCTGGTGCAAGTAGGTTAACCTCACTTAAATCGAGCCCTGAGAGGTCATGAGAAACTATAGGCCATAAGCTGCCTCCTCAAATCAGTTACAAAACGTGCAACATGTAGGCGGACACCTGATATGTCCATGAAATGGAACAAAGGGCAGAATTGATCTCGAACGATGGCCCAGTAGCGCACGCCGCTCAGATTGCTGTTACCATGGCAAGTTATATTTCCTCTTGAATTGTGATGCCACGCGATAAGTTCGAGGAGAAAATTCTTAGGAATGAACTAGGCATGACAGATTTCAGCATGCCGGTGGTTTCGATGGCTTTAGATTCATCTGTCCACAATCTTACCCGTAAAGATCCGAGTTAGAATTCGTCTTCCGCAAACCATGCGTTTCGTAAGAGACGACTAACGGGATCAGGTGGTCATCCCAATATTCATGCTGTTGGTGTTCATGGCCCGATTATATACAGACCACCGCCATACAACTGGAACATTGCTGAGTGCGGCGTTAAACAATAAACAATAAATAAACACATTCTCCAGAATCTACACAGATTTTATAGACATATTGTGACCATAGACGAATGAACATGGGCTCAATTCGTGGCCCACTCGTGTTATTCGGGGACAAACCGAATATCTTCTTGGAGGTTACGGAAAGGGACGAGTGTTGACGAATGCATGGGTTCAGCGGACAGGTTGCTAAAAGAAGATGGTGTTCCGAGAGGCAAATATGAAAAGGCGTCAAAGTTGACTGAGAATGATTTGTGGCAAAGAGAGATGTCATCTGAAAACAAATTGTAATAGGAGCTAATAATCGTATGTACGTGTGGAGGAAGGACAACGAAGTCAAAAGCTGCATTTAGTGTCCCCACTTTTACCAACTATAGTTTGGCATGAAATGCATGTGGACCCGGTTTTTTTGTAAATATCTCTTCATCCAATGACCCAATCGATCTCAAACTGTGCAAGTGGATGTTTTGTCAGACAACCTAATCACATTGTAAATCACCGATTTTATGCATTTGTATTAAAGAATCTGTCTATGTAACTGTCAACAAAATCAACAGCAGAACGCAGAATGCTTGCAGAGGGAGGGAGCCAATGACCTGTAACAGCGGCAGTGTTGGGTCATATATTATTATTAGGCTATTCCACCGCCCCTGAATCCTAAAAAGTTGTGTTTCTACAATGACTTAACAAAGTAAATATGGTACTCTCTCCAGAGTTGCTATTTGTACACATTCTATATGAGTAGATTATAATATTAATGAGTATAAAATGAAGTTTGCATTATGTTCACTTTGGTGTTTCACTCCCCCTCCCCCCCCCACCCGTTTTATTAAGAAAATGCGACGTTTTGATTACATTGCCTGACTATATTGACTAGTATCCGTTTTCATAATATAGAACATCTCGAGCGGATAACGTTACATAAATGAGTGGCCCCGAATGATATGAAACTGATTTTTCCTAAGAAAAACTTATCATATACCAAAAAAAGTAACCGTTTTAACAAGCCATTTTGGCAACGGTCCGTTTTGATCCGTTCAAACATGTGCGTTCGGTTAATCCCGTTGTGTGTTCACAGAAAATGAAATCTTATTTCCCACCTCGGTATTGTATTTTTCATACTTACTAGATATTGCATTCGTAAATTATGACGACAGTTTGTAGTTTGAACATTTCTGTTAATGTTTAAGAATTTCACGGAGACACGGTAGTTACCGGAAACACTCGAACATCTCTAGCAACACACAAACAATATGGCGGCCTGTTAACGCGGTAGCAGACAACACAAATGTGCGTTGAGGAATTTAGTTAGTGTACACCTCGGGAGAACGCAAAAGACTGACAACAATATACGGTATTGGCTTTTTACTTGATTTATTGAAAGTAATTTAATTTCTTTGATGCCAGACAACAGTTTCCACAAAATATTCTTCTTTCTGCAGAAATGTAAACTTCTTGTCGTGTTCTACAAATCTTGGGACGCGACCACACAGGTAGAATTTTGAGTTATTAGTATTTTTTATGCTATTCATTTCATGCGATTAGTTCTATTTGGGCTGGTGAAGACCATATTTCTCTCTTTCGTGAAGTAAATTTCTGATTTTGTTCATTCAAGTTCTTGTAGAGAGCCTTAATCTTCGAACGAAGTTGTGTATCTTTGACTTACATGGAATTAGGAAACACTGATTTGTATATAAATTATTCAATATGCTACATGAATGAAACTGCAGTACCTTCCAGAGTAATTCCAGAGTAATTTCATTTTTTTTTCTCTCAACACAAAGTTATTTTTCTAATGCAATAAGTATATTTTATCAGGAGTAGAAATAAGTGTTCACGATATCACATCATCAATGAACAGGAAAACATGAATGTGTAAAACACTAGAGAAAATTTGCTATTTCACATCACACATAGAATCACACTGAATATGCAAAGAGTTTTTGTTGCCATGGAATTGAATAAAACATAGGACCCTTGTCATATTTGTTTTTAACTGTGTAGAAATCTCAGCAAATGAGGGTTCTAGGAAAGACTTCCTCCAGTGTCCCCCCTTAAATTTATATTCAGATCATATCAACTGAATCTATATTCTTCATCAGATAAGTTAGGGGGGATATGAGCGGAAATCTTACCGAGTTCTATGTAACAGCATATCACACCATTGTGTAATCATACTTGACCTGTTTATTATCAATGTATTAAGTTGGTTTTTATTTTCATTTCTTTCACAGATTTATATAAACAAGATAAGCTACCACAAGTCAGTTCCAAGATGGACGAAAGGTTACGCTGGCTTGAGACTCGTATCAGTTCATCTCTCAGGCCCAGGAATGAAGAACTGAAAAACCTTTTCCTCAATGATGACAACAGGTACTATTCACACAGTACTGGCTGCCGAACCGTTATCGCCATATTTTAGCGGTATTTTCATAATTACTAGGGCTGCAATGAATACACTATGTGGCGAATATGATGCGTATCATGAATATTGGATAACGAATACGAATAATTATTCACAAATACAATATTGTAGTTAAGTGATTGATGTACAGTATGGAATGGACATGTTGACAGTGTTAATTTGTCACAGCAATAACCAGTGATCTCATGACACTAAAATTTGGTATGTAATAGTTATAATCGACAGTACCTTGTACAGTCTTGGCAAACTAACATGACTTGCACTACTGCAACCCATCTAACAAAATTACGTTGTGAGGACGTTGTCCCAACGTTACGTTTACGTCCTCAGAACGTCAGCATATAACGTCCCCATAACGTCCCTTGTGTGGAGTCGAAAACACGTCCTCACAACGTTATTTCGAACGTTCATACGACCAAAAAATAACGTCCTCACAACGTTATTTTGTACGTTCATACATTGTGAGGACGTTATTTTTTGGTCGTATGAACGTACAAAATAACGTCCTCACAACGTCATAAACATTACGTTGTAACAACGTTATCTATAGTTTATGGGTAATATAGCCAGGGCTAAAAGTTATATTTTTCCTTGTTTATTGATATTTTAGAATTAAATTCGCTATTCAGAAAAAAGGTCAAGCGATTATCAACAATCCTAAAAATTATTTCGGCAATTATAAATGTGTCAACAAGTCTGTTTGCATTTTGTCAAACTGCCTACTTTGAGCCCTGGTAACACAAAACGGAGATGCTTATTTTGTTAAAATTGAACCGTTTATTCAAGTATAACATATAGCTGAGAAACATGATATTCTATACTTGCACTTCCCCATCTTCCCCGGCAGCAGCTTGAGTCTGAAAAAAGGAATAAGTTTATCTTTAAAATCTTATAATATAATGCAAATCGAAGCACAAGATGATTAGAACATGGCGTTACATTAATATTGGGAAATTATTCAATCAGATTTATTAAACGCTAGAATGAATGTGCAAGCTACATATGCATGTTTTACTTGTTTTATTTTAATAGTGTGAGCAGTGAATACATGAGATGTCGTTAATGTGGCTTGATAGATGAATTGTTTCCCTAATATATATCGATATTTCAGTGCTAATGATAATAAATTCATCTATCAACCTTCATTCAACTGACTTAAGCTAAGCCTAGTAATTGTCACAGACGTCACTGTCACGTTGAATGGAATATCAACGAGTCTGTACATCAAATTTTAAACCACTTAAATAGTCATCGTGTGTTATTCTAGTATATTTTAACTACCATTCTAAATGTTTCTACATTCAAATCAGCTCGGCTTATGATATCTTGGATGTGTTTTTTGGATTATGATTACACAATGCCATTTAGAAAGTGGTCAAATGTAACATGTGTTATATTTGGGATTACACTTTCTTAGTAAAGTACAAATTCTAGTACTTTTTGAGTTGAGCCCCATCCGGGATTCGAACTCACACCCTCAGAGTCAGGCACCCAATCGCCAGCACACAAAGTCAGCCGCCTAACCCACTCAGCTACCGCGACTTCCACAAAAATGGAAGTCGGACAACTGGTAGTCTAGACTGCGGGCTTTGTGTACCCCTCTGATAAGTGTTAAGTGCCAATTAACACTTATCAGAGAATACACAAAGCCGCCAGTCCTAACTACCAAGTTGTCCGACTTCCATTTGTGAAGCCGCGTAGCTGAGTGGGTAAGGCTGGCTGACTCTTGTGTGCTGGCTTATGCCTCAGACTCTGAGGAATGAGTTCAATCGATGGGGCTCAACTCAAAAGTACTAGAATTTGTACTTTGCTACTAAGAAAGTGTAATCCCAAATATAACACATGTTACATTTGACCACTTTCTAAATGGCATTCTGTAATCATAGCTTTCGGCCGTGGGAGCCGTGCCAATTAACACTTATCAGAGGGGTACACAAAGCCCGCAGTCTAGACTACCAGTTGTCCGACTTCCATTTTTGTGGAAGTCGCGGTAGCTGAGTGGGTTAGGCGGCTGACTTTGTGTGCTGGCGATTGGGTGCCTGACTCTGAGGGTGTGAGTTCGAATCCCGGATGGGGCTCAACTCAAAAAGTACTAGAATTTGTACTTTACTAAGAAAGTGTAATCCCAAATATAACACATGTTTTTTGGATTAGTTAATTATAATTTTGCAAACATATTTTTACGCGTGCACTCAGGCATTATTTTTCAGTAATGACGAGAAGGTTGCCCATATGGTGCTTAACAATAACACTCTTATATTTATTGAAATTGTGTTTTTATAGAAGAGTTTCTTATCAAGTAAATAAACAAAATTATCCTGAACGCATACGCTTTTAAGATTAACAGTTGAATTTGCTTCAGCTCTGCATCGTGTAAGGGTAGTCATACACAGCACACGCTACGTTAACTCAGTGCAATGTAAGCGAACATGCATACCTTTTGGCGACTGCCTCCCTGGCGTGACGAGCATGTTTTAAGAATTCAGCCATCTCCGTCTCCAACCTCGGATTCCTTGGCTTTCATGTTTTAAGGCATGCTTCTGAAATCAGTTTGTTAAAAAATCAATGTTTTTTAACTGAACAGAACTTAACTGAACATTCACACAGTCTGTAGAAAATGTCACAGAGAAAATCAAGCAATTCAAGCTACAGTAGAAAGTAAAAATCAAATGTCAGGAAACTATGAAGGTAATTTCGGACAAATATGGCACAGTACAAGGGAAGCGTATGAGGAAAAACGACCAGGAGGAAGCAGGAGCTAAGAAACCAACCAGAAGATTTGTTTGCCATGTTGAACAGTCCCAGCTGTCTGTGGTCATTATTAATCAGAAAGGGAAAGGCCTATGGTGACAGCATCGGGGGGGGGGAGGAAAGCACACATTCCAGCTGGCGCTATCGGAAAAATTCTGTATTTCACAAGGCTGAACTGTCCGCTTATCTAAACTTGCCTCTTTGAAGGATATAATTACATCCTTGGGCTTAGCTTAGGACGTCAGTACATTCTTTGAGCAAGCTCTACAGTTATTTCTAACAATTGTGTCAAGGTTTAAAATGTGGTGTACTACAGTCAGTATGTCAATTTCGTATGTAAATATTATTCAAACAAACAGAAACTTTCAAAGATTAAAGACCGCATACCCTATATCCACGTATGATATGATTAAAGTTTGTAAACACTATCCAATGTGGCGGATTTTTTTCGAAAACATCCCAAACGATTCTAGGTTCGTCGGCAACGTTTCAGAATTATCGTTAGTGATTTTCATCAAAAACTGATATCAGTGATCATTAATATGCTATATTTGAAATTCAATACTCTGATTTTTAGATTTCAAAACATACACCAAATAATGCAATTTCGTAAATGTGTCCAAAAACACTAGGACAAGTAAATAATCAAGTGTCAATTTCATTATTCTCAATGAGTACGTTTTGAACTAATACATACATTTCACTATTTAAACAAAATACGTAAAATACTTACTGTTATGGCGATGAGCACTACTAAAAGTGAGGAATAGACACAGAACCCTGAAGGACTGGTAGCCGCGTGGGAATAGAGATGTCAGCGCGCGGGAAACGTACTCGCACAGGCAATGACGTCACATGATGAAGTCATGCGCAATAGTACCTCAATTTGGAACTTATAGTGATTAAATGATTGAACGAAGCATGTTTCATGTGTTCATTGAAATGAGTGAAGTAAAAAAACACAACAATAATTTTATATACTAATAAATTGAATAAAACAAAAATAACGTCAATACTATGAATTAACTTTATCATATACTGAAGTGATAAATGATAATAAATGTTTTAAAAAAACAATGCTTCGAACCATATAATTATACCATCAAGTAAGCTCCGGGCTGAATGAATGAAAGGTAACGGGTTTCCAACGGGTCAGCGCTGGCAAGCCGTAGGTAGAACATCCTCACAACGTTATCTGACGTTGCATCTAGGTCTGAAATACACGTTGCCCGGACGTCCTGGTTAGGTAATGAGTAACGTTGTGACAACGTATGCAAATGACATTCTCATAACCTTCAAACGTTAAGCTCTATATACTTATTTCAATTGAACTAATTATCAAAACAAACATGACAGATTTATTCAAAAGTCGTTCCAGATTCAATATATTTTTGATAACTAATTAGATGGTCAACTGCAAATACAAACATCTTCAAATATGTCAAGGAAACAAAATATATAAAACGAACGTCCTCACAACGTTATGAGAACGTTGCATAAAGGTTTGAAAAATACGTTGCAAGGATGTCGTGATAACGTAATGTCTAACGTTGTGACAAGGTAGTGGTATAACGTTATGTTATGACGTTCTAATAACGTCCTAGTTACGTCATTTCCTGATGTGACCAAACCACGACGTAAAAATAACGTTGTGGGAACGTTACGTGTTAGCTGGGAATGCTAGTACATGTTCAATTCTTGCATATCTCACTTTGGAAAGCACGTAAGGGTTTAAGTAAAACATGCTGCCTAAAAAAATCGTAAATATTCGGTTCTGGTGACCACGAATAACGAATTGAATTCATGAAGGGCTACGGTTTGATTCACCAAATATGCAAGTGAATCGTTACAGCCTTAATAATTACCCTGCCGATCATTAAATTAATGAAACAGAATTACTTATGATACTTCATTAGGTATAGAAATAGATGTTTTCTCACAACTAACCTGAACAGTTATCGCCAGTCCGAATTTCTCATGCCATTCATGAAATATTATATATTTATATCATACAGAAACCTCGAATATTTGATTGTGTGACTATTTGAGTATTTCTTTAACAGTAGATTGAGAGGGAATGAACATTTAATGACTTGTGAACTTGAACTTGCTATTATATAGGTCGTGGGACTTCTCCCTGACTAAGTTAAATTGTGTTCATAGGCTTAATAGGGTTCATAACTTTATAAATCTTTAATTTTTTATGCCCCCGCCATATATGGCTGGGGGCATATAGGGTTACCCTCTGTGTCCGTCTGTCCATCCGTACGAAACAGGGAATGTACTCTATCCACTTCTCCACAAAAACGCTCTGTGGAATTCAGTGAACTTATACATGGGCTCTCTTGGGACTCTAATGTTATCTAACCCCTCAACACATTGTTTTTACTGTTTTCAAGCACTTCAGTGGGACCCTGAATGTGTGATAATTTATTTATGGTTCCATTCATGTATACAATTTTCGAGACTTTGTCTGAAATGAAGGAATGTATATGAGCTTCTTTTGTGTTTTCTCTCTTGAATTTTGAAGATATATTGATCTATCTTTGTGTTATGACTAAAAAACTGTCAGATGCTCAGTTTTTAACAAACAAGCCCATCTCAACTCCATGGAAATAATTATGGACTTAAACAGTATGCAATAATATCATGTCATGGAACAGTTAACTTTTAACCTGCCATATTGAATATGTTCCAGAATATGTCAAAACGTACCACTTCAGCTTCTACAGCAATCTATTGCTTTCACTTGCCTCCACACTGATATTGCTATTGCTAGTTTATTTACCCTTGTACCATGAACCTTCATGATAAAGGTTTAATTGTACTGTGGTAAGTTCATTGTGACATACATTTACAAATAAGTATTTACCTTGGACACTTGGGATATATTTATTTTATAATCAACCATGATATTTATTTAGTAGAAATTAATCACCAGACCACACTCAGTGTAGGGAACTCTTCGTACAGCAGCAGGGGCATCCGTGTCCCTGGACACAATTTGTTCTTGTCTATTATTATATATGTTACTTACAGTGAAGAATTTTCTTTTGCTGTCCTTTATTGTTGTCAAATACCGTGGGGAAAAAATACCAGAATTATAATTGATCGGAACTGCGCACATGTGATACTTTTGTATTGGCGATAACTGTTATGCGGCGATAACTTTTTGCTAGCCAGTACCTTTCCTGTGGTCTTTGTCAGATATATTCCACTGTTGTGCTGCAAATATTTCTTCAGACCATGTTCATGTTTACACGTGTGTATATGTATCACAACATTAATAATAATAATAATAATAAGTCATCTTCTATAGCGCACAGTCTCCAAACACCAAGTGATTGCTCGCGGCGCCTCTTAATCAGAATCTGATTCTTATTACCCCGGATAACCCAAGCTGCCTGTTAGGCACTAGAAGGTTATAGTCACATGACTTCATCCAACCGGGTACCCATTTTCTGCTGGGTGAACAGAGGCACTTGCCTAAGGTGAGACCACATGTATCACATGTGCTTCGTTGTGGGGCAGGACTGAAGTCCTAGAAAACTCTCAGTAGTCAAGTTGCCAAACACGGTCACCCATCCAAGGATTGTCCAAGCTCGACGTTGCTTATCTTCAACTGATTCGTGACCTGAGCTCTGTGCACAGGACCACACGCCACCACATTACATTGTACCGACTAGGAAGGGTTAGTAGCATTGTCAGATCTTTAGATAAAAAGGCTAAGCGTGATGTAGAAATTCTGCATGTTGGATGTGATTTCCTACAAATAACTCTGTTAGCCAGATATAAGATGTTAAATGCAGAGGAATAATGTATTTGTTCGTTCTAACCAGTAGTGTAACAATACTACATTTTCACAAGGATAACAATTCACCCTAGCCCAAGTCAGTTTCCCTCATGTTAAAGCACCCGTGAAGATCCAAGTTAGAATTGACCTTCAGTAACCCATGCTTGTTGTAAGAGGCGACTAACGGGATTGGGTGGTCTCGCTGACTTGGCTGACACATGTCATTGTATCCCAGTTGCATAGATCAGTGCTCATGCTGTTGACCACTGGATTGTCTTTTCCAGACTCAATTATTTACAGACCGCAGCCATATAGCTGGAATATTACTGAGTGCGGCGTAAAACTAAACTCACTCACTCATGAACATAGTGATTTTTCTGGGTTACATCTTCTTTTTATTCTTGAGTACAACGTTTCAGGGCTTGTTCTGGCCCCATCATCAGGTAAAACTCTAAAACAGGTAAAACAGGTAAAACAGGTCTTCATCGGGACGAGCAAACGCTTTAAAACAGGTAAAACAGGTAAATCATCATTACTCACTCATGTTAGAGGTCTCAATACTTTTTTAGCAATTCAAATCCATATATTCCTCCCATGTTTTACTGAAGTTGTTCCATGTATTGCTTAAGTGCCACCTGAAGCCATAAAACCTCTGTAACCTGTCACCAACATAACTGTAGTACTTGATTTGTGAGGTAATATAGTGTTTTGTGGTGCAGAATAGGGCTGCGATGAATACCCTATGAGGTGAATACAATATGTGTTCCTGATATAAAGTAACAAATATGAATATGTATTCATGAATACTTTATGGTAAAAATCTGTGACACAAATGACAAAAATTGTATGCAGTTGCTCAAGTTCAGGGGTGGAAATAACCCATTGCCCGACGTCCGAGCCCAGCGTTTTTTTCTGTCGGGCAAGCAAATTTGTAGATCACGCTGTACCGGTGTCCAGTTGACTTTCCAATGTTAATAATGTTGTTTATTTAAAAAATCAACAAGAAAACGGATGGTATAGTGGAAAACTTATCAGGGCAAGTGATTTTACATGTGCCACTGTACCGGAGTACACTAGCAAGTTTAAAGTTATTTCTACCCGTGAAGTTGAAACATTTAGTTGATATGTACTTAAGTAATGCAATAGTCATGATTGCACTGATACCCAAAATGAATTTCGAACATTGCGCTCCAGTTATGGCGTGTTCTGTAATAGGGCTGGAACAATTGAACAAATAATTGGTCAATCAACCGATATCACTTGCATCAGCAGTGTTTCCGTTCTCTGGTTTATACCTGAAAATCACCGGTAAAATTTGTTGGGGACTGGTAAATTGAAACCCAGCAGGACACAGTGTCCAGTAAATAATCATGTATTAAAATAAAAAATCATGGGTAAGCGAAATGACAGTCTTGGCTGTGCTTTCGTGGTCACAAAAATTCTTATGTTTCGGAAATACCCAGGCTAAAAATAACTTTACAATGAGTACTTACAGTATGGCAATAGGATACGACCGGCAAATTTCATTCATGACCGGTAGAATTTAGGTCGCCTGACACAGTGTCCGATAAATAATTAAGTCAGCGGAAACACTGATCAGTGAATATCGATGAGCCGGTGACTAATTAATATTCATAAAAATTTAAACGTCAAATTAAACTTTAGAAAGTATGTTTATTGAATCAAAACATGACAACTGCAGTTTGGTTACTTGTAAAACTGCAATGTGAACAAAATATTTGTGTGCGTGTCTCAAGAGGAAATATCCTTGATCATCTTGATTGTAGGAGTAATGGGTGCCTGTTTTGTTTTCACAATGTCATGATTATGTCCCGTTATTGCCCATATGAGTTTTGTGGTGGGTTTATGATTACCATTGATTATTGATCGATTACTGATCACTGATTATCAATCTACATATTGTGAGTGATAACCAGCACTAGTGTGTGTCTAGAAACTTAATGTCAGTCTTTGCCAAAATGTTTTTAATCTGCTTGCACAAACTTGACTCTAAGCATCATATTCAGTGCATTTCAGTGTTATCAGCTGAGTGAGTAAGTATGGTTTTATGCGGCTTTTAGCAATATTCCAGCAAAATCATGGTGGGGGACACCAGAAATAGACATCACACATTGTACCCATGTGGGAAATCGAACCCGGGTCTTCGGCGTGCCGAGCGAACGCTGTAACCACCAGGCTACCCAACCGGCCTTTAACTATCAGCTGAACTGAACAAACCAAGAGTTTTCTGGACTAAAAAGTAGACCAGTAGCAAACGTTGCAGTCTGTAACATTCAGGATTGTTCTGTATTTTATCTTGTTAACTAAAACTTTTAAGGAAAGCTGTTAAATGACTCCAAATTATAGCCATGGCCGAAAATATATGCCGCCCATGCAACCCCCTTCCTATGAAGATCCGGGATAGGTTTGGTCTTCAGTGTTCCTTGCAAGAAACAATTTACTGGATCAAATGGTGATGCTCACTTCCTTAGTTGATGCATGTTATTTATTGTATTCTTATTGCATTGATCTATGCTCATGATTTCAATCCCCAGGGCCACGTTTCACAAAGCTCTCGTTGACCTAAGATCTTGTAACTTTTCTCGTAGCATTCGTACCTCCTGTACTGTAACATAGGGAGTTCGAATGCTACGTGGAAAGTTACGAGATCTTAGGTCTACGAGAGCTTTGTGAAACGGGGCCCAGGACTGTCTAGTCAAGACTTGACATCTATCTTATCTTTGGAACAGTGCTGAATGGTGCATTGCACAGCACGCAAATGGAAAGCAGTGCAGTAAATCCTAATGGCAATTGTGACAATGATAGACACTAAGATGAAATGGGATGCAAAAAAGTCAATTCTGTTTATTTTTCTATAAATGAATCTTATAATATCCATTTATTTCAGACTTGCTTTCTATGAGTTTATCAACAATGAAGACATCAAGAAGCTGTTTGTTTACGTGCGCCCGATGCGACAGTTTACAGCTGCGCTGCAACCTCCACATGACCTCAAATCCAAATCAATATTCTTCCTCAAGTGCAATCCTGGAACCAAACTCACCAAAGATAACATGGGTGAGTATGTCAAGTTGATTACATGTAGAACAGGAGTATTTCCAAATAGAATGGGAAAATCAAGAGATCCTTATTTCAAATATGAAATATTATGTGTTATTAATAATGTGTGACTTAGATAGCCCTTGCTTTCAGTACCCGGGATCCGTGTTAGAATTGGTCTTTAGCAACCCATGCTTGTCGTAAGAGTCGGCTTATGGGATCAGGTGGTCTCGATGGCTTGGTTGACACATGTCATCATATCCCAACTTTGTACTATTGTAGATCGATGCTCATGATGTTGATCACTGGATTGTCTGGTCCAGACTCGATTATTTACAGACCACCGCCAACCGACCCATGTGGTTCATTTTTACTTTTGCTCAGTGCGTATATCAGAGTGTTCATGACATATGCTCTCTGGTACTTCAACTTGAAATCAGCTAAAACAGATATTTCAAAATTATATAATTCTTTAGAAACAAATTTTAGGTTAGTCTACCTTTCCAACGTATTTCACTCAATTTACAATTAAATATTTTTTGCAGATCAAGAAGTGTTTTATATGGACTGTAACAATGTGCCCCTGGAGCACCTGGAACTCACTATTAGAGAGGTGTACCTGCCTTTACTGGGCACCAACCAGCCCAGTGTCATGGAGGCCGGTATCAACGGGGACAAGATCATGGATATCTTGCATAGACTAATGGCAGCAGTGGAGGTCACACAGGGTCATGTCAGGGTAAGCCAGTCTGTGGACAGCATGGTCAGGGACTGCGTTGTGTTCCAAGCGATCTTAACGTTATGATGATCATAAGCCTATGTTCAAGCATGGGAGTTACGATCACCTTTCTGATTTTGAAGTATTGGAGTTACGATCACCTTAGTGGAAAGGGGGCTGGGGCTCGTTCCACAAAGCGATCGTAGTGCTATGACTGTAATAAGTCTATGTTAAAGTGTGGGAGGTACGATCACCTTATTGTTAAGATCGCTTTGTGGAAAGGGGGCTGGGGCTCGTTCCAGCAAAGCGATTGTAGCGCTATGACTGTCATAAGTGTATGTTAAAGTGTGGGAGTTACGATCACTTTAGTGTTAAGATCGCTTTGTGGAAAGGGGGCTGGGGCTTGTTCCACAAAGCGATCGTAGTGCTATGAGTGTAATAAGTCTGTGATAAAGTATTGGAGTTACGATCACCTCAGTGTTAAGATTGCTTTGTGGAAAGGGGGCTGGGGCTCGTTCCACAAAGCGATTGTAGCGCTATGACTGTAATAAGTCTATGTTAAATTATGGGAGTTACGATCACCTTAGTGTTATAGATCTCTTTGTGGAAAGGGGGCTGGGGCTCGTTCCACAAAGTGATTGTAGTTCTATGACTGTAATAAGTCTGTGATAAAGTATGGGAGTTACGATCACCTTAGTGTTAAGATTGCTTTGTGGAAAGGGGGCTGGGGCTATCCACAAAGCGACCTTAGTGCTATGACTGTAATAAGTCTATGTTAAAGTATGGGAGTTACGATCACCTTAGTGTTAAGATTGTGCTTTGTATGTGGAAGGGGGCTGGGGCTATCCACAAAGCGATTGTAGCACTATGACTGTCATAAGTATATGTTAAAGTATAGGAGTTACGATCACCTTAGTGTTAACATCGCTTTAGAGCATTGCACTGGCCCAAAAATTGTCTTGTTCTAAATATCTGGTGCCTATCAAGTCTGGTTTCGACAGAGTTCACTGTATATGACCGACGTCACATATCCAGCCCCTGTCACTGTCAAATGGTTTAATAGGGACAATGTGTTGCACAGGGTCAGATAGTGCTGAACATGCCGTCTATAGAAGTCCTGGCCGAGGCAGCAGCATCACCAAACAGACGAGGAGCAGTTCTACACGTCCTGGAGTCAACAGTCATCAACTGGATCAAACAGATCAGGGTAGGCATCATAGAACTGGCTGGCACAAGTCACACAATCATAGAGATAGTTACAACCCTGTAGGTAGTTACAATAATATTTTCATGCTTGCAGGTTTTGGACACTGAAAGACTATTCGCTAAAAGTTAAAAAAATATAGAAATGATTGTAATTATTTGGATTATGCTTTCAAAGTTTTGAAAAACCATTCATCTTCAGTGAAATCTGTTAGCTACAGTTCCTAGAAGAAAATATCTCTTTATTTCTTTATGTTTTTGTTGATTCTGTCAGTTGCTGTTCTTATGTTTTATTCAATAGGATCATAGTCAAATAACATCTTTATACATTTATACTTTTTCAGTGTCATGAAATAAGGCACCATGTGTGTGAGTTATTCATGAAAGTGTTATTAAGTCAGCTCTCGTTAATCCGACACTCATTAATCTGACAATCACGTTAATCCGACAAAAAAATTAGTGAACCATTTAAAACAGTGATAATTACTCTTGTTAGTCCGACATTCTTGCATTCCAACTCCGACTTACCAATCTAGCAACCGGTTATTGTAAACACGTTGTAAAAACATTCGTTAATCTGACAATCAACACAATCGGTCGGATAATCCGACCGTAAACAAACAATCACACGTGAGTGGTAATTACAGCATGCCTTACTGGCTGCTTGACACCGACGACATGGTGGTATGTGAATATTTTAACATACAATGAAGATAATTAGATCTACCTTTTCTGATATGCATGCAACAGTATCATGACATTTAGTAAACATTGATATTTTCACACAAATACATTAATCCGACATTCTCGTTAATCCTACATATTTCTATGCAACCACAAGTGTCGGATTAACAAGAGTTGACTCTCGATATTTGGGATTCATTATAGACAGTGATTTTGAAATCTGTAAACAATTATGTCTGGACCAGACAATCCAGTGATTGACATCAGGAGCATGATTCCATAAGTTGTGTCTTATTATGACAAGCATGGGTTGCTGAAGACCAATTCTAACCCAGATCTTCATGGGTCGCATCACCTTGAGCAAGTTTGCTATCGGCCTAAACCAGTTTTATCTGTAACCAGGTGGTGTTGAAGCATGATCCTACAGCAGACTTACAGAATCAGTTCGGCAACGAGCCAGGCCCCTTGGAGGAGATGAAGATGTGGGAGAACCACCTGGACCGACTCCACTCTGTCAACACCCAGCTGGACTCTGACATGTCCCTGGACATTCTACACAACCTGGAGCAGGCCAACAGCCAGTACGCCCACTCCTTTAGCAGTGTGAGGAAGGAGATCAATAAGGTAAATATCACCGTATAATGGTGACATTATTCGAATATTTAACAGATTAGGTTAGGTTACATTTAGCAGTAAAGGTGCCGATACACCTAGAAACATAATCATATTATGGCCTGGATTCAAACAACCCATGAAAGATTCAGTCAGATACCCAATAACCTGATCAACGAAGACGATCAACCCGATCATATTTAGATGCTTGATTGATTTCTAAATCTAAATCAATCAACAATTTTGTAATTGATCCATTAATTTTGTAGTAGACGACATCTTATATATTCATAATAACATGTATTCTATTAGCCATGTCATCTGTATCTATTGACCACCACATGTATTGCGTCGTCATAGCATTGTGACGTCATGGCCAGAGTTAACAGTTACTGTTCAGTTTTACCTGATGATGGGGCCAGAACAAGCCCTGAAACGTTGTACTCGAGAATAAAAAGAAGATGTAACCCAGAAAAAATCTCTATGTTCACCGATCATATTTGTCTCGTAGATGACTTGTAGCCCAACCAAGAGCCTGTCTCCTAAGATGCTTCACTTTCATGCATACTTTTATGTATTACGTCACACTGTTTTGACCTCACTGCATCATTCTTGTCTGCCCCCTTGTAATCAAATGTACCTTTGGTAACCAACGTCACAATGCATGTCAGCTGTCATCAAACTACTCCGTAGCACTCCGTTTCCTGCTTTGAGTTGCTTCACTCCTCTAACATCATGTTGCGTTTAACTTTTGTCGACGGATAAATGTCTCAGCTCGAATCACAATTAAACAGTGATACAGCAATGTTCGCTGATTGAGCCTATGTGCACAGTCTCACAATGCATCGGTGGAATGTTGCGTGATTAGTCAACTTCATCTGGATTTTACTGTTCAAACCTTACATTTGTGTGATATTCACATTTCCCAATGTGGGTTAGGATAATCATATACGTAATACAAGACAAATAACTAGCCCAGAAACGTTGTGAAAAATAAATCAAGAAGTTTTTATCCATAAGATTTGTCTTGTATTACTACACCAACTTCTAAATGCCTTTGAAGGAATTTAAGCATATACGTAACTAAAGTAATATTTAACCTGAACGTAAACCATCTTCAAACTGTTTATCATTTGTTTTCACTGCAATGTGCATCTTAACGGAGGGGGGCAGACACGCCACTGGAAGAGCCCATCAATTATCCCTGAATTAGTATTGTTAATTTAGGTCATTGACACCGTCAGCTTTTCTGTTTGTTTTCTGCCTAGATTAATTCCTGTGTGTATTAAATTTGGCATCTTAGAAAAAATACAAGCATCCTATTACTTTAACTATAATAATTAAGGGCCAAAGTGTATTATATTTCTTTTTATACATGAGGGTAGAATGAACTGTATTTCTTGATTAAAAATTCAACTAGTGTGTCCATAGTTTTCAATCCAGATGATAGAAATCCTGTTGCACTCTTGTTGGAATGATTCAACTTCTGGACCCAAACTGATATGGCTCAAAGATGTCCATGGACATTAGCCAGATATCATTTAAAGCAGTGGTCACTTCAGTGGGCTACCTGTTACCCCATTGGTCACTGACAATGTTGATATATGTATGGCTGCTTATAGTCTGTTTGCAGTGAAAATGTACCGGTGAATTTCACTTTAAACAAAAATGTAAATCGAATACAGTGAAATTAAGATTGCGAATCCTCATAATTCTACCTTGCCAATTCAAAAATTAAATCTTAGATTTTTATTCAACTTAGGAAAAAAGTTGTTTAACAAGCGATCATTGTTTCAAATAAGCTTATATTGGTTTGTATTACAAGGGGTAAAGCGCAGTAGTTGGAACAGTGAAACAAATGCACGTGCAGAACGTGATGAGCGTTAACTTAGACCAACCCTCCTTGTTCTCGGTGTTTCATTTAATGTGCATACCCCCTTGTAATACAAACGAATAATACCGATTTGAAACTATGATCGTTTTTTGTTAATCAACTTTTACCTGAAGTTGAATAAAAATCTGAAATTTAAATTTTGAAATGGCAAGGTAAAATTATGAGGATTCGCAATCTTAATTTCTCTTTTTTTGATTTACACTTTTGTTTAAAGTGAAATTTGTCGGTACGTTTTCAATGCAAACAGACTATACATGGTTGCTCCTGTTTCAGGCTGTAGCCGAGACTAACAAGATCTTGAAGTTCCTGAGTACAATGAGGCCATGGTTTGAGAGACTTCACATTGCCACGGAGCCACGGCAGATGCTAGTGTTGTTCAAACCTCTCATGACAGTACTCAAGCTTGTGTGGAGCAGCTCCACGTAAGTACAGAATAGATTGCATTATCAATAAAATATGAAGTGTTTTAGGTATCTTATTGTTGTTTCACCCATGATGTTTGTTGTTGTAGATACTACCACCAGATAGACAAGTTCCACAACCTCCTCAGATTGCTGTCAAATGAAGTTGTTCACAGAGCCATAGCCATGGTTGGAGAGGACGTACTGAGAGAACCACTAGAGGTGAGTGGGTGGGGTAGTGTGGTGGTAATAGCCATGGTGGTGGAGGATGTACTGAGAGAACCACTAGAGGTGAGTGGGTTGGGTAGTGTGGTGGTTATAGCCATGGTGGGGGAGGCCATACTGAGGGAACCACTAGAGGTGAGTGGGTGGGGTAGTGTGGTGGTTATAGCCATGGTGGGGGAGGATGTACTGAGAGAACCACTAGAGGTGAGTGGGTGGGGTAGTGTGGTGGTTATAGCCATGGTGGTGGGAGGATGTACTGAGAGGGAACCACTAGAGGTGAGTGGGTGGGAGTAGTGCGGTGGTTATAGCCATGGTGGGGAGGGGGATGTACTGAGAGAACCACTAGAGGTGGAGTGGGTGGGAGTAGTGTGGTGGTTATAGCCATGGTGGGGGTGATGTACTGAGAGGGCCACTAGAGGTGAGTGGGTGGGGCAGTGTGGTGTGGTGGTTATAGCCATGGTGGGGAGGAGGCACTGAGAGAGCCACTATAGAGAGGTGGTTAGGGTGAAAAGGGTAGTGTGGTGGTTATAGCCATGGTGGGGAGGAGGATGTAGAGAAGGGAACCACTAGAGATGAGTGAGGGTGGGGCAGTGTGGTGGTTACCTGCCATGGTGTGGGGAGGGATGTACTGAGAGAAGAGACCACTAGAGGTGAGTGGGTGGGGAGTAGATGTGGTGGTTATAGCCATGGTGGGGAGGGATGTACTAGAGAGAAGCCACTAGAGGTGAGTGGGTGGGGGTAGTGTGGTGAAAAGTTATAGCCATGGTGGGGGAGGATGTACTGAGAGAACCACTAGAGGTGAGTGGGTGGGGTAGTGTGGTGTAGTTATAGCCATGATGGGGAAAGGATCATACTGGGGAAGGGAGCCACTAGAGGTGAGTGGGTGGGGCAGTGTGGTGGTTATAGCCATGGTGGTGGGGAAGGGATGTACTGAGGAGAGGAACCACTAGAGGTGAGTGGGTGGGGTAGTGTGGTGGTTATAGCCATGGTGGGGAGGATGTACTGAGAGAACCACTGGAGGTGAGAAGTGGGTGGGGCAGTGTGGGTGGTTATAGCCATGAGGTGGGGGAAGGATGTACTGAGAGAGAACCACTAGAGGTGAGTGGGTGGTGTAGTGTGGTGGTTATAGCCATGGTGGGGAAGGATGTACTGAGAGAAGAACCACTAGAGAGGTGAGTGGGTGGGGCAGTGTGGTGTCATTGCATAGCCATGGTGGGGAAGGGATGTACTTCAAGAGAGGAACCACTAGAGGTGAGTGGGTAGGGGTAGTGTGGTGGTTTATAGCCATGGTGGGGGGTGATGTACTAGAGAGAACCACTAGAGGTGAGTTGGTGGGGTAGTAGTGTGAGGTGGTTTATAGCCATGGTGGGGAAATGCGTATTATTAGAGAACCACTAGAGGTGAGTGGGTGGGAGTAGTGTGGTGGTTATAGCCATGGTGGTGGAGGATGTACTAGAGAGGAGACTCTCTAGAGGTGAGTGGGTGGGGGTAGTGTGTGGTGGTTATAGCCATGGTGGGGAAGGATGTACTGGGGGAACCACTAGAGATGAGTGGGGTGGGGCAGTGTGGTGGTTACTATAGCCATGGTGGGGGAGGATGCACTAAGAGAGAACCACTGGGGTGAGTGGGTGGGGCAGTGTGGTGGTTATAGCCATGGTGGGAAGAAGGATGTACTGAGAGGGGGACCTACTAGGGGTGAGTGGGTGGGGGTAATGTAGTGGTTACATAGCCATGGTGTGGGAGGATGCACTAGAGAACCACTGGGAGGTGAGTGGGTGGGGCAGTGTGGTGGATTTATAAGCCATGGTGGGGAAGGATGTACTGAGAGGGAACCACTAGAGGTGAGTGGGTGGGAGTAGTGTAAGGTGGTTATAATACATGGAGGGGGGAAGGATGTACTGAGAGAGGAACCACTAGAGGTGAGTGGGTGGGAGTAGTGTGGTGGTTATAGCCATGGTGGGGGTGATGTACTGAGAGGGGAACCACTAGAGGTGAGTGGGTGGGGCAGTGTGGTGGTTATAGTCATGGTGGGGGAGGATGCACTAGAAGAATCAGGAACCACTAGAGGTGAGAGGTGGGTGGGGGGGCCAGTGTGAGTGGTTATAGCCATGGTTACTGGGTGGAGGGATGTACTGAGAGAGAACCACTAGAGGTGAGTGGGTGGGGTAGTGGTGGTGGTTATAGCCATGGTGGGGGGAGTGATGTACTGAGAGGAACCACTAGAGGTGAGTGGGTGAAGGTAGTGTAGTGAGGTGTAGTAATATGCATGGTGGTGGGGAGGGATGTACTGAGGGAGAGAGACACTAGAGGTGAGTGGGTGGGAGTAGTGTGGTGGTTATAGCCATGGTGGGGGGAGGACGTACTAGAGAACCATTAGAAGAGGGTGAGAGTGGGTGGTGTAGTGTGGTGGTTATAGCCATGGTGGGGGGAGGATGTACTGAGAGAGGAACCACTAGAGGTGAGTGGGTGGGGTAGTGTGTGTGGTTATAGCCATGGTGGGTGGGGAGGATGTACTGAGGGAGAGGAACCACTAGAGGTGAGTGGGTGGCAGTAGTGTGTTAGTGGTTATAGCCATGGTGGGGGAGGCCAAGCTAGAGAGAGAACCACTAGAGGTGAGTGGGTTGGGTGAGTGTGGTGGTAGTTATGAGCCCATGGTGGGGGAGGCCAAACACTGGGAGGGGAACCACTAGAGGTGAGTGGGTGGTGTAGTGTGGTGGTTTATAGCCATGGTGGGGAGGAATGTACTGCAGGGAACCACTAGAATTTGAGTGGAGTTGGAGTGGTGTGGTGTAGTTATAGCCATGGTGGGGAGGGAGGCCATACTGAGGGAACCACTAGAGGTGAGTAAGGTTAGGTAGTGTGGTGGTTATAGCCATGGTTGGGAGGCCAAACTAGAGAGAACCACTAGAGGTGAGGAAGTGGAGTGGTGTGAATTGTGAGGTGGTTATATATGCATGGTGGGGGAGGATGTACTGAGAGAACCACTAGAGAGGTGAGTGGGTGGGAGTAGTGTGAGGTGGTTATAGCCATGGTGGGGGAGAGAGCCAAACTAGAAGAGAACCACTAGAGGAGGGGAGAGTGGGGTGGGGTAGTGTGGTGGTAATAGCCATGGTGGTGGAGGATGTACTAGGAGAGAAGGGGAACCACTAAGAGGTGAGAGTGGGTGGGGGCAGTGTGAGTGTAGTTATAATACATGAGTGAGGGAAGGATGTACTAGAGAGGGGGAACCACTAGAGGTGAGTGGGTGGGGAATAGTGTGGTGGTTATAGCCATGGTGGGGGTGATATACTGAAGAGAACCACTAGAGGTGAGTTGGTGTAAAATTAGTGTGGTGGTTATAGCCATGAGTGGGAAGCAGTATTGAGAGAGAACCACTAGAGGTGAGTGGAGTGGGGAGCAGTGTGAGTGGTTATAGCCATGGTGGAGGGAGGGATGCACTGAGAGAACCACTGGAGGTGAGTGGGTGGGGAGCAGTGTGGTGGTTATAGCCATGGTGGGGAAGGAGGATGTACTGAGAGACTCCACTAGAGGTGAGTGGGTGGGTAGTAATGTACAAAGTGTAGTTATAGCCATGGTGTGGGAGGATGCACTAGAGAGAACCACTGGGAGAGTACAGAGTGGGTGGGAGCAGTGTGGTGGATTGCATAGCCATGGTGGGGGAAGGATGTACTAGAGAGAACCACTAGAGGTGAGTGGGTGGGAGGCCAGTGTAAGTGGTTATTAGCCATGGTGGGGAAAAGGATGTACTGAGAGGAACCACTAGAGGTGAGTGGGTGGGGAGTAGTGTGGTGGTTATAGCCATGGTGGGGGGTGATGTACTGAGAGAACCACTAGAGGAGGTGAGTGGGTGGGAGGCAGTGTAGTGGTTATAGGGTGTCATGGTGGGGGGAGGATGCACTGAGAGAGACCACTAGAGGTGAGTGGGTGGGGTAGTGTGGTGGTTATAGCCATGGTGGTGGAGGGATGTACTGAGAGAACCACTAGAGGGTGAGTGGGTGGGAAGAGATGTAGTGCGGTGGTTATAGCCATGGTGGGGGGTGACATGTACTGAGAGGAAGAGAACCACTAGAGGGTGAGTGGGTGGGAGTAGTGTGGTGGTAATAGCCATGGTGGGGGAGGATGTACTAGAAAGGGAACCACTAGGGTGAGTGGGTGGGGTGGTAGTGTGGTGTTACATGAGCCATGGTGGGGGAGGACCAGTACTAGAGAGAACCATTGAGAGGTGAGTGGGTGGTGTAGTGTGTAGTGGTTATAGCCATGGTGGGGAGGATGTACTGTACTGAGAGAACCACTAGAGAGGGTGAGTGGGTGGGGTAGTGTGGTGGTTATAGCCATGGTGGGGGAGGATGTACTGGGAGAACCACTAGGGTGAGTGGGTGGGAGGGTAGTGTGGTGGTTTATAGCCATGGTGGGGGAGGAGCCAAACTAGAGAGAACCACTAGAGGGTGAGAGTGGGTTGGGTAGTGTGGTGGTTATATATATAGCCATGGTGGGGAGAGGCCAAACTAGAGAGAACCACTAGAGGGTGAGTGGGTGGTGTAGTGTGGTGGTTATAGCCATGGTGGGGGAGGGATGTACTAGAGGGGAACCACTAGAGGTGAGTGGGTTGGGTGGTGTATGGTGGTTATAGCCATGGTGGGGGAGGCCATACTGAGGGAACCACTAGAGGTGAGAATGGGGTTGGGTAGTGTGTGGTGGTTATAGCCATGGTTGGGAGAGCCAAACTGAGAGAGAACCACTAGAGGTGAGTGGGTGGTGTAGTGTGGTGGCTTATAGCCATGGTGGGGAGGATGTACTGAGAGAACCACTAGAGGTGAGTGGGTGGGGTAGTGTGTAGTGGTTATAGCCATGGTGGGGAAGGCCAAACTAGAGAGAACCACTAGAGGTGAGTGGGTGGGGTAGTGTGGTGGTAATAGCCATGGTGGTGGAGGATGTACTAAGAGAGGGAACCACTAGAGGTGAGTGGGTGGGGTAGGTGTGGTGGTTATAGCCATGGTGGGGGAGGCCATACTGAGGAACCACTAGAGGTGAGTGGGTTTGGAGTAGTGTGGTGGTTATAGCCATGGTGGGGGAGGAGGCCACACTGAGAGGGGAACCACTAGAGATGAGTGAGGTTAGACAGAGTAGTGTGAGTGGGTTTGGTAGCCATGGTGGTTATAGCCATGGTGGGAGGCCATACTAGAGGGAACCACTAGAGGTGAGTGGGTTGGGGTAGTGTAGTGGTTATAGCCATGGTGGGGGAGGAATGTACTGAGGGAACCACTAGAGGTGAGTGGGTTGGGTAGTGTGGTGGTTATAGCCATGGTGGGGGAGGCCATACTGAGGAGGCGATCTAGAATAGGAGAGCATTCGGATGGTGACAGCTGTAGCAGGGGATAGGGGAAGAAGGAAAGGATACATAATGAGAGAGCCTCAGAGGTGCTCTAATATTTTATAGTCATGGAAGAATCTTACCTCATGATGTATTATACTATGAAAGCTGCTGTACAATATTACTTTGACATCATTAATGTGACAATAATAAGCATGTACCACATTTCACTTCTAACTTCTGTGACTTCAGCTAGTAAACACTGAAATCTCTTTCACTCTAATGCGTTTTGCTAGTAAAAAGCCAAATACCATAACTTAGTTCTACTGAAAATAATGTCGAGTCTGGGAATAGTGCCTATGAACTGCATTGTATAGAATTACCTACTGCTGCCTTTCAGTCCTACACTGCTGAAGGAGGCATTGAGGAGTGTGTGTGCAGCGTTCCGGGAACCTACCTGGACTTCAAGGACACAGCTGATGACCTGAACGCTCAGAACATCGCTGAAAACATAGGAAAGACTGTAAGATTGTTAAAAAAATGTCTTTATTGTTTAGTTAATACCTAAAATGTTAATAATACATAAGATTATCTGTTCAGAGTGAATGAATTGATATATCCCATATATTCGACAGCGGGACATACAGCCTTCATTTTCTCAGTTTGTGTGAGAGTTTAGACTTGTTAAGGCAGCAGTGAAGTATTGGTCTTTCCAATCAGTTTTTGACCGCCTCAGGTGGTGTGATTAGAAGTCAGAGCCAGAGAGCAGAAGGTCGCGGTTCGATCCCCAACATCGTCATACCAAAAGACGTTAACATATGGTACTTGTTGGTCCCTGCCTGGCGCTCGGCATTAATGGGTACAACAAGGACTGGTTGGCTCGGAGTCAGTATAATGTGTCTGAGTGGGGTATTCATGCTTCACTGGGGCATGGTATCTCAGTGGGCTAGCACTATAAAACCAGCTTAAGTCTGGGCTAGTACAAGCAGCCGCACATACACATACCCACGCATGCACATCGTCATATGAGCGAAATATTCTCAAGCACGACGTAAAACCCAATTTCACCTCACCTCACCTCACCAATCACTTTTTTCTTGTTGCAGTGCAGCAAGACCCCAAGGGGCTCTGTTCTCGACTAAAATGTATGGCCCCCATGCATACACTCCACGATATGGACTGCGGAACTCGGAGAGTCACTCCAGCACAGCGTCCCTGGATGAGGAAGACCTGTGGAATGACAGTCCCTGGCCTCCCCGGAACGCTCCATGCTTTGATCTTCTCAACAGCTTCATGGAGAGGTCAGTGAATTAGGGTTTATGTTTGAGGAACAAACAAGCAAACAATACAGAATATGTTGTTTGTCCCTCAGTACTCAGTACTGAATAAATCTGTTTCAAGTTGTCATCAGATCTGAACTAGTTGAAATATCCTCAGATTGAAAACATTTTTGATCAGAGAAATGCAACCATGTTTTAAAATCACTGTACAAATATAAATGATTTATAGAATTACGATGTTTTTCGTTTTATTATTCATTATTTACGAAAAGTCGAACTTACATTCTTTGTATCTGGAAGCCAAGGTGTCAAACCGATACAGGTGTGCTGAGATATAAAAAATGCTTTGAAGAATCTCTGCTTCCCCTCTTCAAACTTATAAAACCCTCAAATTTGTTTTAGGGATCGCTTATAATTTATCGCTGGGTGATGATGATGATGATGATTTGAAGGGCGATTACCCATTTTGTTCTGGGGGTGGGGTGTTCCAATTTTGTACACATGTACTAGGGGCTGGGGTCATTGATTTTGTACATGACATGCAGGGGGTCACTTACTTTGTGCATTAATTTGGGGGTGGAGGAGTGGGGTCATTCACATTGTAGATGCTTCTCCATAAAATCATCATCATCCCCTATAGATTTAGCTCAAAAGGACCGATGAATTACAATCTAACTCAAAACTAATAAACATGTAATACTCAATGAAGAAACGCCGATCATAATCAAAACTTCAGACCAACTCTGTGATTTGTTTTACCCAGAATTTATGTCCTAAAATTCAAAAGTTATTTAACAAACTATCATTAAAATATTGACACAGTTCACTATTTGTTACGAGGGAGGAGTGCAGAGAAAGGGACAGCCAGGTGTTAGAGAAGCAAGTGCTCAAGTGCTGACAAAGTTATTGATTCATTAATCTGTGCTGTGCCGTCTCCAGCCTTTCTCGCACACCCGGCTGTCCCTTTCTCTGCACTCGTCCCTCGTAACAAATAGTGAACTGTGTCAATATTTTAATGATAGTTTGTTAAACAACTTTTTTATTTTTAGGACATAAATTCTGCAAAAACTTCACAGAGTTGGTCTGACGTTTTCATTATGATCAGTGTTTCATTGAGTATTTTATGTGTATTAGTTTTCGAGTTAGATTGCAATTCATCGGTCCGCTTTTGAGCCCAACGGACTATAGCCTTAAATTATGCTCGGCCCCTTATCCAACACTTACATTCTGGCTGCAGGTGCAATGATGTGCTGGAGTTGGTGGAGACGACGCGGCACTTCCGACTGCTGGCAGGGGCAGCGGAGGTGGGCGGAGCTGGGAGCTTGAGTCTGGACGTGATATGGTGAAGGAGATACACCAGAAATATACCTACGCCATGCAGGAGTTCTTCTCTGTTGTTGACAATGTGTTGAACATAGATGGATCACAGTTGTTTGAGAGGTCCTTCTTCAAGTTCAGGACAGTTGTAAAGGTAAAACATCTTATGGCATTCTCTTCCCACAGAGGTTACATGACATATCTTCCTACGAACCTCTGTCCTAAAATGGCCATATTTCACGGTTCTCGTAAAATACCCTAGCGGCAAAAAATCGCAACACGAAGTATCTCCCTTCTTTCTATCCAATCAGAACACGTGTTACATCCACTTAGATCCAGCTTGACTAATACAAGCAAATGTGGGGCCACAAATATCCCTCCTCTGCCCGGGGACTTGTGTTGATGTGACACACAAGGCATTTAATGGCTAGCTTGTCCGTTGTCAACGAGGGCGATGGAGACGCCATTGATCCTCTATTACATAACTGAGTTCTGTCTAGAAGAAACGTTTGCGCATCGTGCAGGGGAAGAGGTTCTAGTTTTCCCGAAGTACACAGAAATTACCGAGGCCTTGCGAAGGATCACATTTGAAATAACGTCGCTGATTGCACAACTAAATCTGATTGCAACCAATCACGAATCCTGAACACTCGCACCATGGAAGGCCCGTATTAGAACAGAAGTTCGTAGGAAGATATGAAAAGTAACCTCCGTGGGAAGAGAATGATCTTGTGGTTGCACAGTAAATAATAATAAATAATAATAAGTCATCTTCTATAGCACAGTCTCCAAGCACCAAGCTCGCGGCGCTTAATCAGAATCTGCTTTTTCAGTTTATGTATATTTTAGTACAACTTTATGCTGTGGTTTTGATACTTTACAGCTGAAAAAAATAGCCTTCAGTAATCAAATTATGGCCTTGAAATATCAAGCACTAAGCAGAATCTGCTCCTGATATAAACAAACACCAGAGTATACTGGCCAATGAGAACCATTCTTTCAATTCACATAGTGTCGTTTGAACATTGCGTCAAGAGAACTGCTGTTTGATATTGCACTGCAGACTTGCCTCCCTTCCTCAGGGCAGGATTTGAATCTCAGATGAAGGTCTGTGTTAGAATTCATCTTTGATAACCCATGTTTTTCATAAGAGGCGACTAACGGGATCGGGTGGTCAGGCTCGCTGGGTTGGTTGATGCATGTGACTGTGTCACAGATCAATGCTCTTGACATCAATCACTAGCTGAGTCTGGTCCAGACGCAATTAATTATTTACAGACTGTTGTCATATAGCTGGAATAATACTGAGTGAGTGAGTGAGTTTAGTTTTACATCACACTCAGCAATATTCAAGCTATATGGTGGCGGTCTGTAAATAATCAAGTCTGGACCAGACAATCCAGTGATCAACAGCATGAGCATCGATCTGTGCAAGTGGGAACTGATGACATGAGTCTACCAAATCAGCGAGCCTGACCACCCGATCCCATTAGTCGCGTCTAACGACAAGCATGGGTTACTGAAGATCAATTCTAACCCGGATCTTCACAGGTTGGAATAATACTGAGTGTGGCGTAAACAAGACAGACAATAAGTGGATTATTTTGGTCCAGGTTCGACAAATTCAAAGTCACTGTCGTATACAAGGAACACTGTGAAGTGCAAGGTTAAACAAACAAACATTCGCAAACTGAAACAGGAAGGTGATTTTTGTAGTCAGATTAATTTTCAACAAGTGTATAGTTTACATGCAGAGGATAACACATGTTATCAGTTTGTTATGTTTATGTTTGCAGTCCCTAGAGAAACGTCTAGCTGGGATCCTACGTCAGGCATTCTGTCAGTGTCCTACTGTAGAGGCACAGCTCCGACTCCTGGAGGTGTTTGAGGGTGTCAGTAGCAGGGAGCTCGTCCAGGTATGTTTACTTGTGTCTTCACAGGGCGGTGGGGTAGCCTAGTGGTTAAAGCATTCGCTTGTCACGCCGAAGGTCCGGGTTGAGTCCCCACATGGGTACAATGTGTGAAGCCCATTTCTGGTGTCCCCCGCCATGATATTGCTGGAATATTGCTAAAACTGACGTAAAACTAAACTCACTCACTCACCTTCTTGTGTCTTCATCATGTTAATGTGACTGTCTCCTTGGTCGGGTAGCCTTGTGGTGAAAGCTTTCGCGCATCACGCCAAGGATCTGGGTTCGATTCCCCACATGGGTACAATGTGTGAAGCCCATTTCTGGTGTCCCCTGCTGTGATATTGCTGGAATATTGCTAAATAAATCAGCGTAAAAAATAAACTCACTCTCTTACTCCTTGGTCTAGTGGATAGAGTGTTTGCCCTGAGAGCTGAGGGTTAGTGGTTCCAGCCCCAACCTGAAGAAATGAAGACTTTTAACCTCCTTGCGCTCAGGGGATAAAACAAAGACTGTAAACTGCAGAGTCACCAGATTTCGGTGTTAACACCTGACAAAGGGATACTCACCTTTTTCACATTGATTTTATGATATATGGTATATCTCAGCTTGTTCAGGTCTAAAGAGCCACCTGTGAAGATCTGGGGTTAGAATTGATCTTCAGTAATCCATGCTTGTCGTAAGAGGCGACTAAAGGGATTGGATGGTCAGGCTGTCTGACTTGGTTGACATATGTCATTGTATCCCTATTGTGTAGATCGACGCTTATGCTGTTGATCACTGGATTGGCTGGTCCTGACTTGATTTTTTACAGGCCGCTGCCACATAGCTGGAATATTGCTGAGTGCGGGGATAAACAACAAAACAACCCACCCTATAGAGCCAACTAAAACGGGGATTAGGTTGTCAGGTCCTGTGATGATTGTATATCATTTGACATGTGTGCAGCTGGAGTTGTGTGAACTGTACCTCGTGTTGTAGGCCCACCTCCGAGACAAGGATGAACAACTGGTTCGAGCCTTCACTGCGGAGCTGCAGCAAGTCAGGGCCATGTTCGGCGAGAACTCCATCTCACCCCCCTCACACTACAACATGCCCCCTGTCGTCAGCAGGCTTATGTGGGTGGTGGCACTCAGAGAGAGAATTAGGGTATGTGTTGTTTTCCACAGCCTTTTGATGATGATGATGATGATGATGATGATGATGATGATGATCTGGAAGATTGTGCAAATTGGCAAGAACATAAGATTCTGGCCACCAGGGCCCCTGTTTCACAAAGCTCTCGTAGCGCTACGACAATCGTAATTCAATGTTACAGAATAGGAAGTAGGAATTCTACGAGGAAAGTTACGAGATCTTAGGCTGATGAGAGCTTTGTGAAACGGGGCCCTGATCTTAGAGGTCTAAGATGTATTGTAGGGTATGCGTTGCTTTGTATAACTCATTGATGATGATGATGACGATGATAATGATGATGATGATAATTGAATTTAGCGAATATACATGCAGGAAATTTCCTTTTGTCTGACTGATTGCTTTAAGTTATTGATCTATACTGAAACATTTCTATCGTCTACTGTCAGTCAACTACTGAGAACTGCCTGTCAGTACAATGTGTTGCTATTATGTTGATGATGTTGTTGGCAGATACCATGGGAGAAACTTCGTCATGTGAGTCCCCACTCAGTGGAGGGCAGTGGTAACTTGCAGATGCGGGAAACATACAATGACTGCATTCAAGAACTGGAAGCGTGAGTATAGTTGCACCTGGACACGGTCACAACATCACTGTCGGTAGGGTCATTATGCGAAAGAGGGGCGATGGGGTAGCCTAGTGGTTAAAGCGTTGGCTCGTCGCAACGAAGACCCGGGTTCGAATCCCCACATGGGTACAATGTGTGAAGCCCATTTCTGGTGTCCCCTGCCGTGATGTTGCTGGAATATTGCTAAAAGCGGCGTAAAACCAAACTCAGTCAGTCATTTTTCGAAAACAAGGCCCAGAGGAACCAGCCCCTGAAGTGGTATGAGTAGACTGATGTTACTTGAATAGGTCTGATCATATCATTGTGGGCGGTGGGGTAGCCTAGTAGGGCTGGGACGGGTCCATATTTTTACCCGGGTACCCCACCCCCTATTACCCAACCCTACCCGGATACCCGTCATGCTAATTCCTGACATCAAATTTGCAAGAAATGGCAATATATTCTTCAGCTCAGAGACTAAAATTTTGAGTTTTTCAATATCATAACCATGAATTATATTCGAAAGAAGTGACAGTAAATTATGTCTAAAATCTTCAGACAATATAACCTTTAAATCATGAAAAAATAACATATTACGTTGTTTAATCCATTAGTCACGTGATCATGATGGGTCCGAGTATTGAGACGGGTACCCGGGTCCAACTCATTACCCACCCGTTCTGGGTATCCGGGTTACCAGTCCCAGCCCTATTGTCAAGTGGTTAAAGCGTTTGCTCGTCACTCCAAAGACCTAGGTTTGATTTCCCACAATGGGTACAATGTGTGAAGCCCATTTCTGGTGTCCCACGTCATGATATTGCTGGAATATTGCTAAAAGCGGCGTAAAACTCACTCACTCACTCACTCACTCATTCATATCATTGAAGATATTCAGTTCGAGGTACTTAATTCATTTGGTTTAATCTCCTCACCAAATCTCCTCATTGCTGTTACAATCTGAAGAACCTTGATATGATAGATTGAACCTTGATAATATTTTATCGAATTGGTTGTTTAGAGTGCCAATGCCAATGAATGGTTCAAAACGACAAAGTCATAAAGTTTTTGGCCCTCGAGGACTAAAACTTTATGACTGCTCTGTACTCAAGCTTATCCATTTCTGCCGTTTCAATAGGAGTACATGTGAATAGATGTCACGTGACCGGAAACTAGCAACATGTCCATGTCAATACTATGTTTATGTGAATGATATAACCATTCTTCAATATCATACAGATATTTTTATCATGCATGTGTCAGAATGATAAACCTCCAGTGACGTCACTCTATTGTTCTAGCGAGGCAGTATTTCTTGTCATATCCCAATGTCCCGTCGATTAGGGGGCATTACTTCAATATCGTCCATCTGCCTGGGGATTTTCTGAGGAATAGCCCTTGACTTTGAATTATTACTTGTTTTGAAGATTGATACGACTTTGTCTTGCCATCACTGAATGCGATCGTAAAATATGACATTATTGAAAACTTCCAACATGTATAGTGCCGACACCCGGTTTCAAACCCGCAACCCTTTGCTTACTAGCTTGGTGGTTTTATGCACTAGGCTACGAAGGATCGCTGTGAAGAATGAGATTGTTTGTCAGCATGAACCGTGTGTTCCTCCCAAGACGGGTAGTGCGGGCAGCGCACGTGCAGGACACGGGTACCGCATTCAGAGCACGTGCATTGCGCGTGCAAGGCGAGGCGTCAGCTGCCAGTCTCATCCCAGTTGCTTTCAACAGTAAATACCAAATATAGAAATTATATCTAAAGTATATCTTCAGTCGGTTTATATGTTGAATAAAGCATGACCCTCGGGCATTACGAAGAAGAAAAGATGCTTTCCCTCGAGGAATGCCATCGGGAAAGCATCCTTATTTCTTCGTAATGCCTGTGGGTCATGCTTTATCCTATACTTACAGTACGTATTTTAGGCTCAAAACTTTTTGATAGCTCTTCGTACATTTCTATTCCTTTATCATCTTGACATGCCTTTTGAAGCCCAGAGGTAATCACTTCTTAAAATGAAGACGTTCATCACGCTGTCATAGTTTTCTGTTGTATATAGAATGATCATTATAGTCTGTGTACTGTATTTCAGATATGAGAGGAAGTTGGAGACAGATTGGCAGAACAACATCACATCGGAGCTGACTCTGAGACTTAAACAACCACTGCTGGTAGGTCAGACTCCTCTGACTTCTCGAAACATGACTTTGACTTGATTTGAGAAAACTCACCACATGCATATAGTTCCTAAAAATGAAAGTTTTGAATTCCATCCTTCTCTACCACTGAGTTAAAAACTCAACTGACAGTTATTCAGGGCTCGACATTCACGCTATCCCACTGGCCCGGGTCTAGTAAAATGTTGACAGGTCTAGTGCAACTTTGATAAGTGCTATTCTGATGGTCTAGTAGATATTTTAGCAGGACCAGTAAGAATCTGTAAGGACCAGCGATTTTTAAAAGTTACTGGTCCTGTGGTCTGGTTCGAGAATTTGGGTGAATGTCAAGCCTTGTTACTAAGCAAGTATTGCCCCCCACCGCAACTGCGGAACAGGCGACTATGTATTCAACAGCATCCGTACGTCCGTATGTCCCGATTCTTGTTAACACGATATCTCATGCACTGTTGCACCCAATGTCTTCAAATATGGTGACAGCCTACATTAGGGGATCATGCAGTCACCAGTCGATGTGGATGACCTTGACCTCATTTTCTAGGTCACCACGACACTTTGATCACTTTCTAAACTCAACACAATATCTCATGCACTGTTGTACCCAATGTCTTCAAATTTGGTGACGGGCTACATTTGGCGGTGGGGTAGGCTAGTGGTTAAAGTGTTCGCTCATCGCGCTGATGACACGGGTTCGATTCCCTACATGGGTACAATGTGTGAAGCCCATTTCCGGTGTCCCCAGCCGTGATATTGCTGGAATATTGCTAAAAGCGGCGTAAAACCATACTCACTCACTCACTCAAATTTGGTGACAGCCTACATTTGGGGATTACACAGACACCAGTTAATTTAGGTGACCTTGATGTTATCTTTCAGGTCACCATGACACTTTGACCACTTTTCAAACTTATGTTATCTCATAAAACGTTATCCAATTTTAGCCTCTGAGCTGAAGAATATATTGCCATTTCTTACAAATTTGATGTCTGGAATTAACATAACGGGTATCAAGGTAGGGTAGGGTAATAGGGGGTGGGGATACCTGGGTAGAAAATTTGGACCTGCCCCAGCCCTAATACACACTGATACTGACAGTGAATGTGGGCATCTGTATCTATACATTCAAATCTACTGTATTCCTCAAATATCTTGAGAGTTCGGAGAAGATTCTGAGAAGTGACCATGGCTAAAAACAACATCACACAAATGGTAATCTTCTATGTGACCAAAAGATAAAAACTAGTTAATATATTATATTTCATTCTTCTTTATAGTCCGTTTGGCTCAAAAGCAGAACGATGAATTGCAATCTAACTCGAAAACTAATAAACATAAAATACTCAATGAAACACTGATCATAATAAAAACGTCAGACCAACTCTGAGAGGTGTTTGCAGAATTTATGTCCTAAAAATAAAACAGTTGTTTAACAAACTATCATTAAAGTATCGACACAGTTCACTATTTGTTACGAGGGAGGAGTGCAGAGAAAGGGACAGACGGGTGTGCGAGAAAGGCTGGAGACGGCACAGCACAGGTTAATGAATCAATAACTTTGTCGGCACTTGTGTACATGCTTCTCTAACACCAGGCTGTCCCTTTCTCTGCACTCCTCCCTCGTAACAAATAGGGGCGGTGGGGTAGCCTAGTGGTTAAAGCGTTGGCTCGTCACGCTGAAGACCCGGGTTCGATTCCCCACATGGGCACAATGTGTTAAGCCCATTTCTGGTGTCCCCCGCCGTGATATTGCTGGAATATTGCTAAAAGCGGCGTAAAACTAAACTCAGTCAGTCGTAACAAATAGTGAACTGTGTCAATATTTTAATGATAGTTTGTTAAACAACTTTTTTAAGTTTAGGACATAAATTCTGCTAACAAATCACAGAGTTGGTCTGATGTTTTGATTATGATCAGCGTTTCATTGAGTATTATATGTTTATTAGTTTTTGAGTTAGATTGCAATTCATCGGTCCGCTTTTGAGTCAAACGCACTATAGCAGCGGGTGACATTGCCGTGTTAGTGGCAAACACACGTTATACTTTAGACTGTATGTGGACATTTTGACCATTATGTCAACCTTCAATAGGACCTTTGTCTGGATCATTAACTTATATGACAAAGCATCTTTCATATATTTTGGATGAATGAGTATGTGGGCGTGTTGGGCAAGCTGTATAGGGCGTCAGGTTAGTGATCCAGTTAGTTTAAGGAGCCAGGATCGAGCCCACCCGTCGATCGGGTGTAAAACCTTGGAGTCAACTTTGTGTGCAGGGCCTAGATTTTCTAAGCTCTCTTAGCGCTAAGATAGTCATAAATGCCATACATTAACATTAACTTACAACTATCTTAGCGCTAAGAGAGCTTCGAAAATCTAGGCCCAGACTCTTTCAGTGTTGTCACAACCCCTAGTGTACAGTACACAAACCTGTGCACTTAAAACAACCCACGAATCCGTTGGTAAATGACCAGATGGTGGCCACATGAATATGTGCAAACACCTAGTTGCGGGTACAGCAACGTGCAGTAAACTTGGACAAAGTGGTGTGACTATGTGTCCCACTATGTGTTAAAATAGTGTACACGGCAGTCCTAAATCTTCCTGCTATTGACCCTGTTTTCTGTGAAATACCAATCACCTCTACAATCTGTAATAATTATATTAACATGATTAACAGCAATAGGAAAGTTTTGATTCCAAATTTGGAATAACATTGTTACAAACTTGAGGCTGAATATCAGCTTCTGAGGTCAAGACAAATCTCTGCAATGGCACTGACTCTTTCACATTTCACATGTTTTGTAGTTTCATTTGAAACAGGTCTATTTTCTCCATGCTGATAGTGGTAAGTCATATTCATTATCAGCATCGATAGTGGTAAGGTAGCCTAGTGGTTAAAGCGGTTAGAGCTCTCATCACCCCGAAGGCCCGGGTTCGATTCCCCACATGGGTACAATTTGTGAAGCCCATTTCTAGTGTCACCTGCCGTGATATTTCTGGAATATTGCTAAAAGCGGCGTAAAACCATACTCAGTCAGTCAGTCAGCATTATCCATCAGCTTCTTTCTAGAAATCTGTTGAATGTATTAGGAGAGAAAAATCTCTACTTGTATTGTTGAAATTTTCAGATTGCAGAAGAATATGATGAGGATTTAGACACACGACCTCAGGTGGTCCATGTCAACCTTGACCCCCAGCTACTGCTGTTGCTACGGGAGATACACTATTTAGCCAATGAGCCGTTCAACATCCATCTACCCAGTGCAGCCAAGGAGCTCATCAGGAACACCAACTCCTTCGAGCTGAGCGTGACAGCCACTCGTCTGGAGACCATTGTATCCAAGTACAACACTATCATGAGAACAATTGGGACATTTGAGAAACCACTGTTTGAGAGGAAACTAGACAAGATTGACTCAGTAAGTGATTAGTTGACATGTTTAATTGTTTCAGAACAGAACAGAACAGAACTTTTATTACGCTCCGGCCGGGATACTCGGCATAAGAGGTACAAATATACAGCTGAAAATACATGGGATGGCGGGATGGTTTACAAGGAAGATTTGTACAGTCTTCATGATAGTACTACAAAATATACAGTTTCTTTAAAACACTAATTTGTTTACAGTTAAACAATTCGTTAAATCTTAAAACATTGGGTTTTTAACATAATGGGTTGGGATATAGGTTTTCTGATGATTGAAGAAAGGGCAGAGAAGAATGTAATGAAATTCATCGCCAATATTACACGTGTCGCAGAGGTTACACATTCTTTCTTCGGGTGGAATTTTGTGCCAGCTACCTACTTCTATATATAGGTAAACGATGGCAGAAAGTTCTAAACAAGAGAAATTTAAGGACAAGTTCAGATTTGAATGCGCGATACGTAGTACCCTTACAAGAATTCTAAATCTCTGCGTGCCAATGTTTGGGTTGCTTTATCATGTAACCGTAAGGAGAAAATAGTTTTAATTTCGATGGGAAAGACAGCTTGTTGGCTTAGCCAGTAGAAGCTATAGCCAGTTAAAATGGCTTCCACAGATTTTATCCATTTTCGATTGCTATTGTTTCTGCAGGCATCATTGTATAACATTTGGTACAAAATTCTTGACAGCTTTTGTTCTTTACCAGATAGAAGTCTAGCCCAGAAAACATACCATACAACATTTGATAGAGTTAATTAGGGGTATTCTTCCAAGTTCTCCATATAGCATGGATAATGGCGTGCTTCTCTTAATAGGAAGTAATTTGCGTGAGAAGGTAACATGAACTGATTCTATAGTTTTACAGTTCTCAATTCTGGGACAGAAATTGTTCTCAGGTTGTTAGTAAGTTGTTTTTGATCTTGCTTTATTTGTTAGTTGTTTGCTGTCTAACGCCACACTCAGCAATATCCCAGCTATATGACAACGGTCTGTAAATAATCGAGTCTGGACCAGACAATCCAGTGATCAACAGCATGAGCATTGATCTACACAATTGGGATCTGATGACGTCTGTCAGGGGAGAAATTCCTCCCTAGAATGGCACCCATGTCCTGTCCTACTTGTGGAGCGGGGCAGATTGTCCAGGGAGCGGGGCAGATTGAGATAAAAAGTAGCGAGCCTGACCACGCGGATTGGTTGCCTCTTCTCTCAAGCATGGGTTGCTGAAGACTACTTGTAGAATAAGCTGCTTTTCACCATTGATAAATGCACAGGTCTAGGTCTTTGGACAATGCACAGCTAAATATTGACGTTTTCTTCAGTTGTTCGAACAAGGGCTGCAGCAGTACACATGGAAGATGAAGGAGTCTGCAGACTTTATTGAGACGGCCATGGCACTCGTATGCATGGATGTCCATCAGAACCTGGACGTTGTCCAGACCAACTGCCATGAGATTGCTGAGATCACCATCTCCTGGTCAACGGGCACCCTGGACGTGTTCAAGGCGAGGGAAGCCCATCTGTCTTATTCCATGGAAGACCTCTTGGACATGCAGAGGTAAGATAATGTTCTGGTTTATCTTTTAGATTCGTTCAAAAAACTTCTTGAGGTTGATGGTTTCAGCAAAGAGTGGCTGTAGATGTGAATGATTATATTTAGTGATTATGACTGATGCTTAAGAAACTTGTCCTCTTGTCGCAACCCTAATTTGTTGTTTGTTGTTTAATGCTGCATTCAGAAAAAAGTGATTGGTGAGGTGAGGTGAAATTGGGTTTTACGTCGTGCTTGAGAATATTTCGCTCATATGACGATGTGCATGCGTGTGTATGTGTATGTGCGGCTGCTTGTACTAGCCCAGACTTAAGCTGGTTTTATAGTGCTAGCCCACAGAGATACCATGCCGTAGTGAAGCATGAATACCCAGCTCAGACACATTATACTGACTCCGAGCCGTCCAGTCCTTGTTGCACCCATTAATGCCGAGCGCCAGGAAGGGACCAACAAGTACCATATTTTAACGTCTTTTGGTATGACGCGGCCGGGGAACGAACCCGCGACCTTCCGCTCTCCGGGCGGACGCTCTAACCACTACACCACGGAGGCGGTTTAATGCCGCATTCAGCAGTATAAGGGCATTCTTAAATAAATTAAGTCTGGTCCAGTGGACAATGTCAGGGCTCATCAGAACACATGTGATGGGTCTATGAAACTGGTGTGTTGTACCATTGTGAGCAGATTGGCCTGTGTTGGGGAGCGCCATTGTATATCTAGGATTGGTTTGTTATACCATTGTGAGCAGTTTGGCCTGTGTTGGAGAGTGCCGTTGCATATCTAGGATTGGTTTGTTGTACCATTGTGAGCAGTTTGGCCTGTTTTGGGGAGAAATGTTGTATATCTAGGAGCAGTTGTGGCCTGTGTTGTTGAGAGTGCCGTTGTATATCTAGGATTGGTTTGTTATACCATTGTGAGCAGTTTGGCCTGTGTTGGGGAGTGCCGTTGTATATCTAGGATTGGTTTGTTGTACCATTGTGAGCAGTTTGGCCTGTGTTGGGGAGTGCCATTGTATATCTAGGATTGGTTTGTTATACCATTGTGAGCAGTTTGGCCTGTGTTGGGAGTGCCATTGTATGTCTAGGATTGGTTTGTTATACCATTGTGAGCAGTTTGGCCTGTGTTGGGGAGTGCCATTGTATATCTAGGATTGGTTTGTTGTACCATTGTGAGCAGTTTGGCCTGTGTTGGGGAGTGCCATTGTATATCTAGGATTGGTTTGTTGTACCATTGTGAGCAGTTTGGCCTGTGTTGGAGAGTGCCATTGTATATCTAGGATTGGTTTGTTGTACCATTGTGAGCAGTTTGGCCTGTGTTGGGGAGTGCCATTGTATATCTAGGATTGGTTTGTTGTACCATTGTGAGCAGTTTGGCCTGTGTTGGGGAGTGCCATTGTATATCTAGGATTGGTTTGTTGTACCATTGTGAGCAGTTTGGCCTGTGTTGGGGAGTCATTGTACATCTAGGATTGGTTTGTTGTACCATTGTGAGCAGTCTGGCCTGTGTTGGGGAGTGCCATGTGTTGGGGAGCGCCGTTGTATATCTGGGATTGGTTTGTTGTACCATTGTGAGCAGTTTGGCCTGTGTTGGGGAGTCATTGTACATCTAGGATTGGTTTGTTGTACCATTGTGAGCAGATTGGCCTGTGTTGGAGAGTGCCGTTGTACATCTAGGATTGGTTTGTTGTACAATTGTGAGCAGTTTGGCCTGTGTTGGGGAGTGCCGTTGTATATCTAGGATTGGTTTGTTATACCATTGTGAGCAGTTTGGCCTGTGTTGGGGAGTGCCGTTGTATATCTAGGATTGGTTTGTTGTACCATTGTGAGCAGTTTGGCCTGTGTTTGGGAGTGCCGTTGTATATCTAGGATTGGTTTGTTTGTAGTTAAGGCTGCACTCAACAATATTCCAGTTATATGGCAGTAGTTTGTAAATAATCCAGTCTGGACCTGACAATCCAGTGATCAACATCATGAGCATCGATCTACGCAATTGGGATCCGATGACATCTGTCAGAGGATAAATTCCTCCCTAAATGGCATCCGTGTCCTTTCCAAGTACTGCTCCAGGGAGCTCTACGACAGGCATACTAGTATAGCAATCTCCTACCTGTGGCTTCTCTTGCAGACATCTGACTGACGACCATGAGAGTCTGGTGGTTCCTTCTGGTAACAAGATACACCAGCTGGTGCAGGTCTCCTTTGAGGTGAGTTGGATGCACACAGGGGTTTACCATGACTTTCAAAAGTAGGGGGTCAGAGGACCCCCATCAATAACTTTTACAGGTCCTTGCTGTAATCATCCTCGATAATCTCCAGGGTATACGTTACGATCACTCTCCACTATACCCTGGATGCATCCAAGGTTTGGCTCGATAATTATATTATCTCCGCAATCTCACAGTAGCCAATCAGCTAAGCTGCCGTTACATCCGAGCTTGCCAGTGTCAACAAAGATAGCGGTCGCAGTCGCGAAGGTTTGTTCGCAGTGCCACTCAGATTTTGGGAGAAATAATACAGACAAATTGACAGATCTGAAACTTTCAAAAATATTATATAAAGGAATTCCTTCCACATCTTTCAGAGTACCCTCTGCATCAATTGTGTTGACAAGTTTAAACGGTTAGATAATTTAAGAAGCGAAAGTGAGTTGTGATTGGTTCGCTCAACTTCCCAGCGTAGACACCTGATTGGATAAAAAGCCAGCCAAGGGAGGTAAGAAAATCATCGGGCCAAGCAGTGGATGCATCGAGGGTATAGTGGAGAGTGATCGTAACGTATGCCCTGGAGATTATCGAGGATGTGCTGTAATATGCGGGCCCTGTAAAGTATTGAAATGGTGTAGTGTAGGTTCAGATAATAATACTTCAGAGCCTGGATGAATCAGTAATCATGTGATCATGACTGATGGGTAAAATAACAGACACAGATAACTACTCTTGATGCACCGTCAGTATTTTTGTGCATCTCTTCAACGCTGTATTTTGAGTTTTCTGCATTCATTCTCTACATTTTTGCATACCAGATGCACATTAATGTGTTGTGTAAAATTACCCTTTATTACTGCACATGGCCCTTGTCACCAGTGTCATCATCAGCCTGAGATTCTTTTATTGTATAACTGATGACTTCTCAATTACTCACAGCTATTTTTTCATTCATGTCAGATTTCATTCTAGTTAAATCAGAATGTAAACATAATGCTGCCGTAAGCTGTTTATTTGTGAGTCGAACTGAGACATTATATCCGTCGAAAACATAAACGTAATGTTTCCACCAGTTGAATGAAGCAACTGCCCAGTGAGGTATTTGGAGGTTTACTGTAGGAGGCTGTAAGGCAATGACAACTGACATGCATCGTGACTCGCCGGGTTACCAAGGCAGTGACGCCATTACAGTGTGACGTCATGCAATATTGTACTACAGTACAAAACTCCTCCATAACCTCTTTATGAAACCGGTGTTCGGTTTGAAACCAAAAACATAACCCTACGCTATTTTGTCAATTTAATGCATGTAAGACATGGGTAATAAAAAAATACCAGTATTTCTGAAGCTGTGTTCCTGACCTCGCCGCCAGTCAGATACCACAGGAAGGACACTCGTTCTCAGATAATTGCATGTAATGATGCCTCGATTAATGGTATTGTCTATGCCTAAATCATCAGCCAGCTTGTATTGTATAACTGAACTGAAACTCCAGCTCCTGAATTTAGCAGTAATCAGATGTTATATGCTGAATGATTAGGTCTTGGAAAGATAAATACATTCAGCAATCAGATCCTCTAGAAAGTGGCATTCAGTGTTCACGAATGGTGTTTCACAGTAACAGGACATTGGGTCCTGTAAGTTTCAAATGTCTGTCTGACCCATTGAAAATTCCCAGGACCATAGAATAAAACTAAACACACATTTCAGATTTAAAATTTCTTATAATTGGCATTTAAAATTACTAACAAACATAAGATTTATAAACAGCAAGCAAGCATCACATGTGACATGTGACATACAACAACTTCAGTCAAAGGCATTGTGAAACATACAGTCTGACACTTGGGCGGCGGGTTGAAGATTTCTATCGGACCGTATCGGAATCTGCCAGATTTGTCAGAGGGTCAGACGCTATTCGTGAACACTGGGCATTGATTAAATGGGTGGACATTTCATGGTGTATATTATTGATAAAAGTGGTTTGTCACTTAGTAATGGAGTCGCAGGAATCCCCAGAACAACTGTGTATTGCTAAAAATGACTGATATTGTCTAAACATTATTTCCCGTCATGATATTAAGCATAGGCCATCCAATTAATGTACATGCATACACCAGGAGAAACGTTGAGCACTCTGGAAAAAAAATCATTGGCGCATGATTTGAAATATACTGGTAATTATGCGTCATCCGATATGAATATTGGCAAGGGGTTCTTACATGTGAATCTATACAATACTTTCAATCTAAAACACTGGGACTTTTGCGGTGGATCTGATTTGTACATTACTGAAACCATCTCTCTAGTCTTGAATAACTTACAGGAATTCTTTATAACTGGAAGTTCTCATATTTGTAAAAGTGTCTTTTAATTACTAAATTAGAACCTAATTCAATCATATTTCCCATTTGGCCACACAAAGACTTCTTGTATAGAGTTCACTCATGTTGTCGGAGTAAAAACTAGATAGATGTATTTCTGTTACAATTTGTTTAGGGTCAAGCTATATTTCTCCTGGCGTGTGGTCCTGTGCGCAGAGCTCAGGTCACCAATCAGATAAATTTAAGCAACGTCGAGCTCGGAGAATCCTTGGATGGGTGACCGTGTTTGGCAGCTTAATTGACTCCTGAGAGTTTCTAGGACTTCAGTCCTGCCCCACAACAAAGCACATGTGATACATGTGGTCTCACCTTAGGCATGTGAGTTTGTTCAAATTGCCTCTGTTCACCCAGCAGAAAATGGGTACCTGGTTGGATAAAGTCATGTGACTATAACCTTCTAGCGCCTAACAGGCAGCTTGGGTTATCCGGGGTAATAAGAATCAGATTCTGATTAAGCACCGCGAGCAATCACTTGGTGTTTGGAGACTGTGTGCTATAGAATATGACTTATTATTATTAATATGTTAAGACCTTGATGCCTCAGTAGCAGTGTTAATCTGGTGTGTGTAGGCAGTACAGATCAGCCAGGCCTCCCCAGCATGGCAAGACTACATTGACTACATCGACGCCATCATCCTGGACGGGCTGAAGCAGGCCACACTGACCAGCCTCCGCTCCATGCTCAACACACTGGTGCAAGCCAACATCGCTCAGGTCAGTTTTCATGAATTTACATCAGTTTGTGTGATAAGAAACATGTTTCAACATTAAAAATTCTCCCCTTGTTTTCATGTTAAAGTTCCTGTTCCATGGATACAATACCCACATGCCTTTGTGCTCTTTGTGGTGTACCCATCAAGGTCCGCGTTAGAATGAGCCATCAGTAACCTATGCTTGTCGTAAAGGCCGACTAACAGGATTGGGTGGTCAGGCTCGCTGACTTGGTTGACACATGTCATCGGTTCCCAGTTGCACAGATCGCTGCTCATGCTGTTGATCACTGGATTGTCTGGTCCAGACTCGATTATTTATTCACTGCAGCCATATAGCTGGAATATTGCTGAGTGTGGCGTAAAATTAAACTCACTCACTCACTCTTTTTGATGTTGTCAGTGTTTGTTACAAATGAGTCAAGGAGAATGCTCTGATCGTTGTGGTCTAGGATTAATTAAGAGGATAAAAAAGTACTGGTTGGCTTGGGGTCAGTATATTGTGCAATAGCAGTTTTAATATATATAAGTTTTAGACACCAAAGTAAGTGTGTGGTGAGGATCATGAAATTTTGGTTCCTTAAAACTCTGACATCATACATGAAGTATGTTGAAAATACTCAATCAGAAAAAGACATTTATGTGTGGTGAGAATACTGATCCTAGCTTACCTGAAATTTTGGTTCTCCCTAGCAGTTAAAATGGTGTCACCTGAATGTGATTTCTCCCTAGTACATCATACATGACTCAAATATTCAAATGTGATTTCTCCCCTAGCAGTACATTGCAGTAAATGGGTACCTGTTGATTTCTCCCCTAAATACTACCTGAAGAGCATGGTGTCACCTGGATGTGATTTCTCAAGTCAGAAATTTCTCCCTAGCAGAAATGCATGGTGTCACCTGGATGTGTGAAAATGCATAAGATTTCTCCCTAAGTAAATGCATGGTGTCACCTGGATGTGATTTCTCCCTAGCAGTAAATGCATGGTGTCACCTGAATGTGATTTCTCCCTAGCAGTAAATGCATGGTGTCACCTGAATGTGATTTCTCCCTACCTTGGATTACTTTGGATGTGATTTCTCCCTAGCAGTAAATGCATGGTGTCACCTGGATGTGATTTCTCCCCTAGCAGTAAATGCATGGTGTCACCTGGATGTGATTTCTCCCTAGCAGTAAATGCATGGTGTCACCTGTTTGTTTCCTCAGGACAATGAAGACATGAGCATCATCCCTGTGCTGACCATCCGCTTAGAGTTGATAGAAAACAGTGTGGCATTCCGGCCACCGCTTGACCAGAACACATCTGTCATCAGTGTCCAGGAACTGGTTCAGCGCTGGCTGGAGGGTTTCCTGGCTCGGGGGAAACTTGTCAGAATGCTGGGGCCCAAGGTGGGTAGAGCTATTTACATCACAGTGTTGAAACCCACATACTCCGCCAACGATTGGGATTCAACAGGAACTGGTCATTTATATATAGGGGATGTTGGGCAGGGTAGATTGGTCTTAGGACTTTTATTTTGCCACATGCTATGTTATGGAATTCATACAATTCTATGTTTATGTTTACAATTTTTTGTGTCATCATTGCTGAAAGTTTGTTAGAACTTTTGTATCCAAGGGTCAGCACTTGCATTGTTAAATTTTCCTTATCCTGACTCATGCTTATTGCTTATCTCCCTTCTCCTTGTGATGGTTAAGTTGAAACTTGAATCCTTTCAATTCCCTGAAGCGATTGTAATATCGCTCACCCACAAGTAGCCTCCCTTTTCCCGCCAAAACGGTCTCACGTGACCTGAGTCTAGCTCTCATCACTCTCTCCTTCATCACCCAAGCAGACGGTTGGGTGGTCATATGGGTCCTTTTTTCGGCGTATATCCTTATCAATATCAATTTTATCATAAAAATTACATTTTGATGATTTGCTGCAGTCATTATTTACTGAGAAGAATCTTGACATTTAATATCTGGAAAATACTAAAATATGTCTATAATAACAAGTGCATTTATAATGTGCTAAACTCCATTCACTACCTGCCACTAACCCAACCTGCCAGTGAGGCGCTAGTTTATTAGTCACTTGACTTATCCCAGCGGGTACCCATTTTCTGCTGGATGGATGACTGATTGTGTGGAACAAGCTAACAATGTTGAGATGATGTGGATTACATTGTGTCGTGTGTTGCATCTCCAGGGCAGCTATGAGGACTACATCGCTGCAGATGATGAAGTGAAGCAGCTGCTGATGAACATCAACCAGATGGTGGAGGAGAACAGCGAGGAATGCAAGGTGAGAACATCACATCGCCAGTATTGATGTTGTGGATCATGGCTAATTTTCACAGTTTTCTGATAATCACATATTTCACATGTTTCATATTTTGGGATTTACTGCTGTTACAGAAGCTGCTCGAGGTTTTCCGAGATTATGCGTTCTTGTGGCTGCAAGATGTCAACCAGACATTTGAAGAGTTCCTTCGAGGAAACTTGTCACCGAACCCACTGAGAAGTGCCAACAGACCAATGACAACCGAGATCCGACAGCAGGCTATGGAGAGGACGTCGCTTCATTCCAGGTACTGAAAATCATGAAATTAATCAAAACATTGTCAGCTCATTTCCATTCATTTGCTTAACAAGCTCAATTCAGGTTATTTGGTAAATAACAAGTGTGAAAAGAAAAAGAACAACACCAAAGATTCAGGGTGTCATTTTTATCATCAACACAGATTCCTGAGCTCGCATTAAATTCTTGACGCATTTTTAGACTAGACCCTCACACTTTCGCATTAAATTTGTGACGCATTAATTTCATGATTTCCAGTAAATCATATGAAACTCACCAGCTTCTAGATTGCTAGACATCTCCAGGTTTATCGCTGAACACCCTTGAGCATGTTGCTAGACATCACAGAGAATATTGCTTGATATCCCTGAGCTTGCAATTGTTGCTTGACATCCAGGAACTTGATGCTAGGACATCTCCAAGATTGTTGCTGGATGTCCCTGAGCTTGACATCCCTAAGCTTTTAGCTAGACCCATCACTGAACTTGTTTCTAGATATCCCTGAGCTTATTGCTAGATATCCTTCAGCTAGATGCTAGACATTTCCAAGCTTGTTGCTAGACATCCCTAAGAATGCTGCTAGACATATCTCAGCTAGATGCTAGACATTTCCAATGTTGTCGTTAGACAGCCCTCAGCTTGATGCTAGACATCTCTAAGCTTGTTGCTAGATATCCTTCAGCTAGATGCTAGACATTTCCAAGCTTGTTGCTAGACATCCCTAAGCATGCTGCTAGACATATCTCAGCTTATTGCTAGATATCCTTCAGCTAGATGCTAGACATTTCCAAGCTTGTTGCTAGATATGCTTCAGCTAGATGCTAGACATATCCAAGCTTGTTGCTAGACATCCCTAAGCATGCTGCTGGACATATCTCAGCTTGTTGCTAGATATCCTTCAGCTAGATGCTAGACATATCTCAGCTTGTTGCTAGATATGCTTCAGCTAGATGCTAGACATATCCAATCTTGTTGCTAGACATCCCTAAGCATGCTGCTGGACATATCTCAGCTTGTTGCTAGACATCCCTAAGCATGCTGCTAGACATTTCCAAGCTTGTTGCTATAGATGCTAGACATATCCAAGCTTGTTGCTAGACATCCCTAAGCATGCTGCTGGACATATCTCAGCTTGTTGCTAGATATCCTTCAGCTAGATGCTAGACATATCTCAGCTTGTTGCTAGATATGCTTCAGCTAGATGCTAGACATATCCAAGCTTGTTGCTAGACATCCCTAAGCATGCTGCTGGACATATCTCAGCTTGTTGCTAGATATCCTTCAGCTAGATGCTAGACATTTCCAAACTTGTTGCTAGACATTCTTCAGCTTGATGCTAGACATATCCAAGCTTGTTGCTGGACATCCCTAAGCATGCTGCTAGACATTTCAAAGCTTGTTGCTAGATGAGAAAGCCACAATAACTCGGTGCCCCTAGCGGCAGCGAGTTGTATACGCCCAAGGGAGTTGAGATTGCTGATACGATGTGCAGTTGATATTGTCATCCAATGATCGAGGGAAAAAATACCAGCGCCTTGAGCATGCACTAGTGCGTGGATATGTGTGCTATATAAATATCCTATAATAATAATAATAATAGATATCCTTCAGCTAGATGCTAGACATTTTCAAGAGTGTTGCTAGACATCCCAAAGCACCTTGCTAGACATCTGTGAGCTTGCTGAATGACATTTCTGTTCATGTTTGGTGCAAGGATGGAAATGTTATGAGTTATGTCCCTTATACACTGATATACACTGGTTGCGAGTTAAAATCTCTTTGGTCCTGCTATACAAATTCCCTGCTATATCCCATTTATATTCCTTCAGATTCCTACCACTACTATAGGTATTCAAGATCAAATAGGTATTCAAAATCAAATAGACCCGTGAAGGTCCACGTTAGAATGAATCTTCAGTAACCCATGTTTGATGTAAGAGGCGACTAACGGGATCTGGGGGTCAGGTTCGCTGGCTTGGTTGACACATGTCATCGGTTCCCAATTGCGCAGATCGCTGCTCATGCTGTTGATCACTGGATTGTCTGGTCCAGACACTGTTATTTACACACCGCCGCCATATAGCTGGAATATTGCTGAGTGCGTAAAACTAAACTCACTCACTCACTCAATATCAAATATGTACAAGCAGCCACAATAAAGCATGAAAATTGATGAGTAAGGATTTTGGCAACAAACAGAACATTGAACTCATGTAACATCTGTCTGCTTCAGAGCTTCCTCAGCCAAGAGCAGTATTGACTCAGCTGGTCTGATGGGTACTGCGGAGAGGACGCTCCTCACCCCCAAGGGCAACAAGGAGGGGGACAATCACAACATCCCATCCTTGGATGAGTTTGACAATGAGATAGACATCTACAAGGTAAGTGGAGGATCCCCACAAGCCACATTGTTGATGGTACTGAAAATTCAAGCAATTTAGGAATCGGTAGCAGTCAGTCAGGAATCTATCAATTAAGTAACATATGCACAATGTATTGCTATGCGTTTTCATATAAGGACATGGCTGAGATGTTACATACCCAATGAACTTTAGGTAAAATTCAATTCTCAATGTGTGCATCTTACTGTCCCATACAACTTTTGTTATGGGGGCGGTGGTATAGTTTAGTAGTTAGAGCTTTCGCTTGTCATACCAAAGACCCAGATTTGATTACCTATATGGGTACAATGTGTGAAGCCGATTTCTGGTGTCCCCTGCTGTGATATTGTTGGAATATTTACTGAAAGTGTCGTCATGATATGGCTGAAATATTGCCGATGTGACGTTAAATAATAACTCACTCACTCACTACTGAAAGTGGCGTAAAACTTAACTCACTCACCCAACTCGCTGCTTCTGTAATGTTAGTTGATACTGTCCAGTGAGCCACTGGTAAAAAAAACACTCACTGTTACTGCAGCTTGCAGTTCCAAACTGAATCATGTGCTTGTTTAGTTCTAACGGAAAAAGACTATGACGTTCCTTGTTACCGCCAGGAGACAACTGCTTCTTGTGCCTATTTCGCCAACGTGTGAGACTTGTTTTAAAATACCACTGATGTGGCTACAAGATAACTCTGGTGGCAAATTCTGCCAGAATTGATGCTACGAGTATACTCGTGATAGGCAGTCAACGTGTTAAACCACATCATTGTCGTCATTTTTACTTCCAGAGTGCCCGAGATGAGGTGCAGGCGCTACAGAACTACCATAATGTGGGTTGGCTGAGAGTGGACCTGCAGCCTATAAAGCAGGTTCTTACCACCTATGCCAGCAAGTGGATGTGGACGTTCACCAAGTACCTCTCGGATCAGGTACAAACTAAACAATCACATTTGCAGAAATTCTACAACCCTGTGTCTGGTGTTTGTTTTTGTTACAGAAAGTGTCAAGAAGTAGACACTGCAATGATAAGGCACCTGTTAACATTAAATATGTTATGTAGATTCTATGGCAAGTATCATTCATATTGCTTTTACTATCAAATCATTTGTGTCTACAACTGTTCAGGATATGACACAAATGTAATCAGACATTGGTGCTCTCTGACTGTATCTTCTGTGTAACACAATGAAATCAAATCCTGGATTTACTGGATTTTTTGAGTGATCAATTACATACACTTTCAGAACGGTGAAACAAATCCATGACCACATTAGCACTTCTGGAGAAGGCTGTATGGTTCATAGCCTCGGGTGTGTTTCAGGATGTTTACTACTGCAGAAGGCTGTATGGTTCATAGCCTTGGGTGTGTTTCAGGATGTTTACTACTGCAGAAGGCTGTATGGTTCATAGCCTTGAGTGTGTTTCAGGATGTTTACTTCTGCAGAAGGCTGTATAGTTCATAGCCTTGGGTGTGTTTCAGGATGTTTACTACTGCAGAAGGCTGTATGGTTCATAGCCTTGAGTGTGTTTCAGGATGTTTACTTCTGCAGAAGGCTGTATGGTTCATAGCCTTGGGTGTGTTTCAGGATGTTTACTACTGCAGAAGGCTGTATGGTTCATAGCCTTGGGTGTGTTTCAAGATGTTTACTACTGCAGAAGGCTGTATGGTTCATAGCCTTGAGTGTGTTTCAGGATGTTTACTTCTGCAGAAGGCTGTATGGTTCATAGCCTTGGGTGTGTTTCAGGATGTTTACTACTGCAGTAGGCTGTATGGTTCATAGCCTTGGGTGTGTTTCAGGTGACTCAAATGCTAGAGAAGTTGGATGTGTTCCTGAAGAGGATTGAGCCAGAGATTGAGAGTATCACCGGAGAGGAGAGAGACACAGCCAGCTTCATGAAGATGATGAGACTCTTTAATGAGGTAGGGTGTCATTTATACTCTTAGTGATTTACTAAAAAACAAGATATTGCATGTTGCTGACAAGGCAGTTACTAAGATACAGGCAAGGTTGTTACTGACATACAGACAAGGGTATTACTGACAAATAGACATGGTTGTTACTGACAGACAGATACAGACAAGGCTGTTACTGACATACAGACAAGGCTGTTACTGACATACAGACAAGGCTGTTACCAACATTCAGACAAGATTGTTACTGATATATGGACACGGCTGTTACTGACATACAGACAAGGTTGTTGCTGACATACAGACAAGGTTGTTACTGACATGCAGACAAGGTTGTTACTGACATACATTCGGGGCTGCTACTGACATACAGACAAGGCTGTTACTGACATACAAACAAGTGTGTTACTGACATACAGACAAGGTTGTTTGTGATATACAGGCAAGGTTGTTGCTGACATACAGACATGGTTGTTGCTGACATACAGACAAGGTTCTTACTGACATACAGACAAGGTTCTTGCTGACATACAGACAAGGCTGTTACTGACATACAGACAAGGCTGTTACTGACATACAGACAAGGTTGTTACTGATATATGGACACGGTTGTTACTGACATACGGACAAGGTAGTTACTGATATACGGACAAGGCTATTTCTGACATACAGACAAGGTTGTTGACATACAGACAAGGTTGTTACTGACATACAGACAAGGTTCTTACTGATATATGGACACGGTTGTTACTGACATACAGACAAGGTTGTTACTGATATACGGACAAGGCTGTTTCTGACATACAGACAAGGTTGTTGCTGACATACAGACAAGGTTGTTACTGACATACAGACGGGGTTGTTACTGACATACAGACAAGGTTGTTTCAGATGGATTATGTGAAATTGTTGAATTCTTTCCTACTCTGGTGACAGGAGACATTATTCTGCTACAGGTGTCAGCTCAACAGTCGGAGATGGACGGCAAGTTCACAGCGATGCATCGGACGGTCTTACTACTGAGGAAGTATGGCCAGGTGCTGCCGGAGAAGACCCAGTTCCTGTTCTCAGCAGCTCCAGGCCGGTGGAACAACCTCAAGACTAAAGTATCCCTGGCCAAACAGAGACTTGGACCACGCATACAGGAGGAATCAGCCAGAATCACACAGGTAACTGTATATCTGCTGCTGGCTTTGATTGACCACAGCAATAAAATATCTTGTGTTTTGATGATGACTTACAATGTAGATGAAACTCAGTTTGGTATCAGGGCTGATGATACACTGAATAGCCTTCTGTAAGCCCTCTGAAAACACAGGGCTCGATTTAGTGCTTTGTTACTTGCACTGGTGCAACCCAGTTTTACAAAGTGCAACCTAGTTATGAGTCTAACTTGCACAAGGTGCAAGTCAATTTTTGAGAAATAAATCAATGATGAATCTAACATTATAAGCATAAATATGTCAGCTCATTCTTCTTCTAAACTTTGAATAGCTATGGTACCGAAACATTGCTATTCATAGACACGTCTCGGCTATGACAGCTCTTGAAAACAGATATCAGCTGTGTCTCTGTGTTGCTATGGTTTCAACTTCTGACGCTTTAAACACACTATGTTGCAACTGGAATTTGGCTGGTGCAACTAGGTCTTTATCATAGGTTGCACCTGGTGCAAGTAGGTTAACTTTTCTGAAATCGAGCCCTGAAACAGCACTAGCAGTCTGGCTTATATTTCTAATGCTTCTAACCTTTTGTTGTGTAGGACCTTGAGGCATTTGCTGACCGTGTGATGGACCTGAGCAATGACCTGGACAAGTCTGACATCTATAATAGAGAGTGTTCCCTGGGGGAGGCCTGGGTTGTCATAGACAACTTTGTCAAGCGGCTCACGGTGCTGGAGAATGAAGCTCAGGATCTGATTGAGCTGCAGGAGCTTCTGGAGGCGTCTGTTGTCAACTTCTCCGTCCTGCCACAGTGAGTTACAGTACTATTGGTGGAGAGTTCTTACTTTCAAGGGCAGTTGGGTAGCCTACTGCTAAAATCATTTTCTGACAGCTACAGACAAGGTTGTTTCTGACATGCTGAAGACTGACATACGTGTTCAAATCACCACATTGGTACAATGACAAGGCTGTTACTGAATACACATTTACTGGTGTCCCAAGGCATGATATTGCTGGAATATTGCTAAAAGCAAGGAGTTACCGACAAAACAAGATGTTGTTCAATAATCAACTTACAGCTAGTTCCTTACATAATGTTCCATTAACTTGAAAATGGAAAGTAATTTGTTCCTGATTGTTCATTCACATACAGACTCATACCTTGAATACAGACAAGGATGTTAGTGACATACAGACAAGGTTGATTTGTTCAATAAACAACTTGGCAAGTTCCGTCATAATGTTCCGTTTAAATTTGTTTCTAATATATATTCCTTGAATACATTAGTGCAAACAATTTGCAAAACGGCCATGTGTTTCACAATATACCGATATGTGTCTATTCTATACAGATTTCCTTTGCTTGATATTGTCATAGGTATTGTGCATTGCAGCAATGCTTTCAGTAATATATTGTAATTGGACCATGTGTTTCGCAGGATTGTGTTAATTGTGGAGAAATATAATCACATGTATCTCAATAGTGCCATGTGTTTGGCAGTACAGTCGAGCACCGTTGTGTCAAACTCTGATAACTCGATATCTCGGTTGTCTCGATATAGCATCTCGGTCCCGCAAAATCCTTCATAATTTATCATTAATCAAACTCTTTTAACTCGATACGGATGTCTCGATATTTTGGATATCTCGATATAATGTCATGGTCCCAACAAGCAAAATTACCCTTTTAACTCGATATTTGCAAAGAAACTTGATATTCACCTACCTTTCATGGGCAAGTATCCCTCTAAACTGAGGTTGTTTCAACACGTTTACACACGGTGCGGCATGAATCAAAGGGATGCGGTAGTGTATTTTCCTTATCCTGACTCATGCTCTTTTTTTCTTGTCTCCTTCCTCTTGCGAACATAGTGGAACACTTGTATCTCCCTAATTGAAGTTCCCTTCAATGTAAAATCACTAATTAGTACACCACGAGTTACCTCCCTTCCACAAGCGGCGGGAGCGAGAGCCACCTCTCTACCCATGTGCCTCACTCTCTCCTTCTTAGCCCAGTGAGCTGGGCGTGAGGCGCCTGTGTCTCCGACACACTATATCCTTTGATTATATTTAGTTAGTTACCTCGTTATAGAGATCTATAGAGGTTTAGCTAGTATCTTTCAACAATTATATATTGATATTTAGTCGTGTTTCTACTGTTTATGCGGGGCCGCGTGCTGTTGCAGTGGATTCGTTGATAAAAATTCTGTACTGTTGCACATTCGTTTTTATTCTGCTGCTGATCCATTTAATATGCCCTAGCTGTACTGCGCCATGTTTCATGTGATTCCGCGTTGCAGTTCGCGATACTAATTTATCCAATTCTACCTTTAATAAATAATTACTTTGCGTTTGAGGCCAGCAGCAGATAGGTCCGCATTATGCAGAGTCTAGCATGACTGATACACCTGAACCCTGCGCCAGTCTACTGCTGTTGGTGACCCCCCTCCCGTCTGGGTTTCCGCTAGAATGGTGGAAGGCGTGGGGCGTAGTCCGCCCGCCTCCAAGAAGCGTCCTGCTTCCCCAGACATCCCGCCGTCGCACTGAGGGGTATTCAGCGAAGTCTACTAGAACTTTCTCAGCCGAGATTGTTCTCATCGCAATTTGGGCCTGTATGATGATCAGCCGATCATCATTCCTGATAATACATCAAAGAATGACTGATAACCGGCAACAGTGATGTCAGCGCAGATCAACGTTCGATGATCTTCCTGAGGGGTCCCGTCGCTACCAACACTCAGCGCGGACTTACGCACCCCCAGGGCGGCGTCGACCTCTGAGGGAATTCAAGCGAAGTCTACTAGGACTTTCTCAACCGAGATTGTTCCAGCCGCTGAACTTGGCCTCTACGATGATCAGCCGATCATCATCCTCGGCGTATGAGACAAGTGGCGACCGGTGACAGCTACAATGACATCAGCAGAGATGCGTCATGCAGCCTGATGTCTCTACACTGATGTCAGGCGACTTACCTGAGGGCCCCACCACTAACAAGCGCCAGAGATGGCACCCGACTACTTCGTCGCAGACCATCCCAGACGAGCTACTCACGGCAAATCATGGTGCGTGATGGAGGTCACTACAGACTGGAGAAGCAGCCAGCCCAGAGTCACGAGCCTTCGCGAGGCTCCAACTTAGAACAACACTCTAGAGGCACCTCCAGTCAGCGTAGCAGCCAAGGCGATGCAGCCTTCGAAGAGAAGTCGCAGACCACCTTGACGAAGGACCCAGATGTACAGCCTTCGCGAAGGCCTTGGCGGGATAGATCATCACATTCCTCGGCTTCATCCTTAGATGCAGACTCAGCCACCAGACCTCACGGAAGCCTTCGCGAAGCTCAAATCGCCGTTCCCCAGCACGAGACGCAAAGGAAGCTTCAGCGAAGGCGTTCAGCTGCGTTCGTGAAGGCATTCGCGAAGGCACTCGCGAAGGCACTCGGGAAGGACACCCGAATATAGATCGTCATTTAACAGAGTCAAGGGACTACTCAAGAGCTTCGGCGAAGCTGTCAATAGTCTCCGATCTCCTCGTACATCACCACATCGATGCGCCTCACAGGTTACCACACAAAGTCTGCACACAAGTCTACATCACCTTCCTAGAGTGGCAGTCGACGCAGACATACCTGATGAAGGAGAAGACGACGCAGATGCTATCACCCTACCTCCGATCGACCCGATTGCTGCGGTAGCACAGAATCTAGACATAGCATCCCATAAAGCCACAAAGTTCAGACACCATAATTGCCGAACTTTCACGCCTAGAAGTTTTCCACGCACAACATGGACCCCTTCTTCAAGGCTTAAGACATCGATGAAAACTACAAGTTGATCATCGATATCAACAATAAGAACTACAATCGTAAATTGGTTCAGTTGAATCCATGACCGAGGCGTATGTTCGTTGGCCTAAATAGATCTAGAAGCGATCATTGAGACACTTATCACCAGATTTAAGTAACCACGACTTCTGAAAATGATAAGATGATCCACTCGGCCCTACTTATGCAGAACCAGCAAGTCCCAGGCCGCCTCGGCGAAGGAGCTAGAGCCTCACCAGCTACAAGGGGCGTCGGCGGAGGAGTAAGCTTTCGCCGACCCCACATCCTGTTAAACACAGAGGCCATTAGCGAAGCAAAGCTCTTATATATATATATATATATATATATATATCTAATCGGACTTTGATTTCGATACCTTCTTCGCGAAGGTCGCGAAGGCTAAGTGGCTCCAAGTCTACTTCACCAGTAGATCTAGAAGGGATACTTCGAGCTTCGTGAAGTCTCCGGGCGCTCACCGAGGAAGTCTCCTCCAAGGTCTCCATATACTAGCCACTTTCGCCATATATAGCTACTCCTCAGTCCGTTCAAGACATCGCATAAGTTGTCTATCAACTGTATGCCAGATGCGCCTATAAGCCTACGCCGAAGACAATTGCACAGGCTATTTACAACACAGAACGTCGCTGTATTAATTTGTCAACGACGTTTCATAGATCTTCACAGAAATCAACTATTCCAGATAAATTGCTAGTATATGCAATCTCGGACGACGATACGATTATCTACATGCGTGACCATTACGCATATCTGCAGACAATTCAATATCGAATTGAACAGCAGCCTTGTTACAGCGAGTATAACTCATAATCGTCCAACATTTCTGAGAAGAAATATGTACAACAAATTCAGCTTTAATTCTACAATTATGACGATACATTCATGTATACAGTCTACAAGCTGACAACTTACAAGTTATTGTACCTTTATATATAAAGAAGTCGGAATTATATTCAAAACTGAAGTACTTTCACGACAGCCAGGAAAATAACCTACCCAGCATTAATATTACAGAGCAAGGTATTTTACCGGAAGCTTTTCAGCTGCGTTTACCATTAATCCTCGAAACACCGTGGTCACTGGGGTAACTTCGAAGTTACGATGAAGACCGATGATTGTTCTAATATCAACGACGGCACTATATTATACAAGGTTCCTTTTCCTGCTACACGGTGACATCACAGCTGGGTACTCTACAGAATCAAAATGCCTTATTCTGATTGGACCCGATGAACAACGCCCTACACAGAGGTCGAGCATAGTTCACAGTTCAAGACATAGGTTGCAAGTGACAACTTTATATCAATGAACGAGCAAGCCTCCTTACAGCCCAGTTAACCTGAACCTTCATGATTAGGCTGCTTTCTTCAGGTTAGAGACCTCCCTGTCAAGTTTAGACAAGGGCACAGCAGTCAGGCGATTTTACATAAAGTTCATCGAGGACACAAACTCCCGGTTGTGCACATACATCGCCAAGGACATCGCGAACGATTTACCTAGACGACGTGATACAAGTGGATCCGAAATCCACAGCGTTTCAGACTACACCTGAATTTCATCATCAAGCTACTAACACAACTAGATGGTTAGTAAACCTACTAAGTTTCTGTTTGGAGAATAAACGGAAGTTTCACGTACCAACTTGGGGATATGAATATAGTGCTACAACACCTCACAAGTGAGGTTTATGAACATGCCTGGATGACATACTTGGACTCCATGATACGATGATGCTATCACGCTGGCCAGCAAGAGCACTGTAAATTTATCTCCACCAAACCAAACAGGAAGAAAAAAATACAACAGATTTTTTTCCTCTATCATCAACTTACGCAGAGTGTAGTCTCACGTACTATATCTCCGTTTGGATCAGAACTGTCATACTACGTGCATACAAGACAGATGGACCTAATCCGACCCTCCATGAGCTTTAATACTCTTGATATTAGAGCCCTAACTTCTACAATTTCATCTACACAAATGTTATTTGAAATAATGGAGGGTTTATTACTGTAGATCCGATATGGTGGTTGCCAACCATTATCTGAGAGATATCACCACCGAGACATCTCAGGTATCCACCAATTCGATCCCATGGTCCTTGCACAACAGTTGACAGTTCCTCGGAGAAGATAAGTCAATCTTACAGATTTTTACTTATCTTATAACAGTACTAAATAGCTTCATGCTATATATAATTTGCTTAAGCTCGTTTTTTTATCATCACAGTGGTTACATGATAAATGCATTAGCTAACAAACTCTACAGAGTTTTTTTTGGCTATTATATACGTAGCTTAAGTCAAGTATATTTTAAGCATAGTACTATACTCATATTGTAAAAATACATTAGCTAACAAACTCTACGGAGTTTTGCTATTATATAGGTAGCTTAAGCTCATTCATATCTTAAGCTCAGTACTATGTTTATATCATATAACTATATTAGCTAACAAACTCTAAAGAGCTTTTGCTATTTGGCTTAAGTTTCATCATATCTTAAGCAATATGGTTACATTATAACATGTATTAGCTAACAAACTCTATGGAGTTTTTGCTGCTATTATATATGTAACTTAAGCTTATTCATATCTTAAAGCTAGTACTATGTTTATAGCATATAGGTATATTAGCTATCAAAACTCTAAAAGAGTTTTTGCTATTATATATTGGGCTTAAGTTTTCATCATATTTTAAGCTTTATGGTTACATTATATCATGTATTAGCTAACAAACTCTACGGAGTTTTGCTATACATATGTAGCTTAAGGTTTCTTCATATCTTAAGCTCAATACTATGTTGATACCATATAAGTATATTAGCTATTAAAACTCTAAAAGGTTTTTGCTATTATATATTTAGCTTAAGGTTTACTTCATATCTTAAGCTCAATACTAGGTCTAAATCAACATAATAAAATGTATTAGCTATCAAACTCTACGGAGTTTTACTATTATATATATATAGCTTAAGTTTAATCATATCTTAAGCTCAGTACTATGTTTATAACATAAAAGTATATTAGTTAATAAACTCTAAGGAGTTTTTTGCTATATACATTTAGCTTAAGTCTAATCATATCTTAAGCTTAGTACTATGGTTACATTATAAATCTATTAGCTAATAAGCTCTACAGAGTTTTTGGCTATTGTATATGTAGCTTAAGTTAATTATATCTTAAGCACAGTACTATACTCATATTGTAAAAATATATTAGCTAACAAACTTTACTAAGTTTGGCTATTATATATGTAGCTTAAGTTAATTATATCTTAAGCACAGTACTATACTCATATTGTAAAAATATATTAGCTAACAAACTTTACTAAGTTTGGCTATTATATATGTAGCTTAAGTTAATTATATCTTAAGCACAGTACTATACTCATATTGTAAAAATATATTAGCTAACAAACTATACTAAGTTTGGCTATTATATATGTAGCTTAAGTTAATTATATCTTAAGCACAGTATTATACTCATATTGTAAAATATATTAGCTAACAAACTCTACTAAGTTTGGCTATTATATATGTAGCTTAAGATAATTATATCTTAAGCACAATACTATACTCATATTGTAAAAATGTATTAGCTAACAAACTCTACAAAGTTTGCTGTTATATATATAGCTAAAGCTTATTCATATCTTAAGCTCAGCACTGTCTATATCATATAAATATTTTAACTAACAAACCCTAAAGAGGTTTGTTATTATATAATTAGCTTAAAATTAATCATATTTTTAGCTTAGTGCTATGTTTATATCTTAAAGTATTTTAGCTAACAAACTCTAAGGAGTTTATACTAGCATATTAACAAGCTTAAGTCTATTAGTCTTAAGCATTGTATTAATATTATATATACTTATCATAATAAGTACATTGTAATAACCTCTATATGGCAGCTGATAAGCTGGCAGCAGGAATTCATCAGTTCAATGCCTTTATGAAGTTCTCATAGGGTTATTACAATCATCACAGTTCAAATCACTAATTATTAAAATCCAAAGTATTATATATTCCCACCTCCGCTCTGTTGGATTCTACAAGCAAAGAGCATGAGTCAGGATAAGGAAAAATATGTAATTTTTTGAGTAAAATTGATATTTTATACTTATCCTGACTCATGAGGTCAGCCCTCCCATCCTCCCAAATAACACTTTGGATTTCCCTGTAAATTCAAATGTTGGGCTCAGTATATGAGGAGAGAGTGAGGCACATGGGTAGAGGGTGGCCCCTCGTTCCAGCTTGTGGAAGGGAGGTAACTCGTGGTGTACTAATTAGTGATTTTACATTGAAGGAACTTCAATTAGGGAGATACAAGTGTTCCACTATGTTCATAAAGAGGAAGGAGACAAGCAAAAGAGCATGAGTCAGGATAAGTATAAAATATCAATTTTACTCAAAAATTACATGTATATCATGATGTATCATGAAAAGTATCACAATACAGCTTACTTTATCACAATATATCATGAAATTCATTGCAATACAGCCTTGTGTATAGAGATATGCCTACTCCTGCCCCACAATGAAGCACATGTGATACATGTGGTTTCACCTTAGGCAAGTGAGTTTGTTAAAAATTACCTCTGCTCACCCAGCAGAAAATGGGTACCTGGTGAAATAAGCCATGTGACTATTAACCTTCTAGCACCTAACAGGCAGCTTGGGTTATCTGGGGTAATAATGATCAGATTGTGTTAACACTTTGAACATGCCCCTCCATGTTGCGGAATTCAGCACATTACAAGTGCCCTTATTATCATTATTATTATTAATATGTGGTGCAATACCGATAACCACATCTGTTTTGATTGTATCATCAACATACTCCAGAAGAATGAATATACCTGAAGTTCATGTGATGTTTCAGGTGCCGCTATGAGCTCAACAACCTGAAACAAGTATGGGAGACTGTCAGGTTAGTTCTTTAGATCTCACATGTGATGGATGTTCAAGATTGTTTGGAAGGTCTTACATTTTAATATATAGATGGATCTGACTGTGTTTAAGAAATGCAGTTTGCTCTACCCCCATGTATAGTGTAGTAAAGCACACGTTCGCCCTGAACTATTATCATTAAAGAACGAGGATGCTTGCGTCTGAGTGCTTTAACGTTAGAATGGCGCAGGCTAGAATGGCGCAGTGATGCCAATAGATTGTGATGTAATGCAAAAAAATGTACATTATCATCTGATAAAGTATTTTCGATGCCTTTGATCCTTCACCGAAGCATCTTAGAATAGTGAATAAACATGCATAGGCAGTATGGGCCCAAACAAATGTTTGGATAGTCTAACACTGTGATGTGATGAGTAGACTGAGTAGATAAGAGGGATGAACGCAACTGTCTGAAAGGTCTAACACTGTGATGTGATGAGTAGACTGAGTAGATAAGAGGGATGAACGCAACTGTCTGAAAGGTCTAACACTGTGGTGTATTTACAGGGTTATAGATGAACAGCAGTCCGAGTGGAAGAGGCATCGATGGCAGAAGATGAACACCAAGTTTCTCCGGGAGGAGACGAGCAAACAGCTGGACATTGTTCGAGCTCTCCCAGAAGATGTTTTCACCTGGGATGTCTACATGGGGCTGCATGAGTCTATCACTACCATCCAGGTGAGAGTCAATAACTTTCATCGATGTGAGAGTCAATAACTTTCATCGAGGTGAGAGTCAATAACTTTCATCGATGTGAGAGTCAATAACTTTCATCCAGGTGAGAGTCAATAACTTTCATCCAGGTGAGAGTCAATAACTTTCATCCAGTTGAGAGTCAATAACTTTCATTGAGGTGAGAGTCAATAACTTTCATCGATGTGTGAGTCAATAACTTTCATCCAGTTGGGAGTCAATAACTTTCATCCAGGTGAGAGTCAATAACTTTCATCCAGGTGAGAGTCAATAACTTTCATCCAGGTGAGAGTCAATAACTTTCATCCAGGTGTGAGTCAATAACTTTCATTGAGGTGAGAGTCAATAACTTTCATCGATGTGAGAGTCAATAACTTTCATCCAGGTGAGAGTCAATAACTTTCATCCAGGTGAGAGTCAATAACTTTCATCCAGTTGAGAGTCAATAACTTTCATTGAGGTGAGAGTCAATAACTTTCATCCTGTTGAGTCAATAGCTTTCATTGAGGTGAGAGTCAATAACTTTCATCCAGGTGAGAGTCAATAACTTTCATCCAGGTGAGAGTCAATAACTTTCATCCAGTTGGGAGTCAATAACTTTCATCCAGGTGAGTGTCAATAACTTTCATCCAGTTGGGAGTCAATAACTTTCATTGAGGTGAGTGTCAATAACTTTCATCCAGGTGAGAGTCAATAACTTTCATCCAGGTGAGAGTCAATAACTTTCATCCAGGTGAGAGTGAATAACTTTCATCCAGGTGAGAGTCCATTACTACAATCCATGTAAGAGTTCATCATTCCCAAACACATGAGAAACCATCATTACTGTCCAGATAAGAGTCCATCATTTCCATCCATGTTAGAGTCCATAACTATCCTCAAGGTGAGAGTCCATTGCTAAATCCAAGAGAGAGTCCATACTTACCATCCACATTAGAATCCATGATTAACATCCAGTTGAGAGTCCATCACTTCCCTTCAGGTGACTCCATCATTACCATCCATATGAGAGTCCATCATTATCATCCATGTAAGAGCCCATCATTACCACCCATGTAAGAGTCCATCATTACCACCCATGTAAGAGCCCATCATTACCACCCATGTAAGAGCCCATCATTACCACCCATGTAAGAGCCCATCATTACCATCCAGGCTGGAATCCTTCATTATCATCAAGAACAAGCTTGACAACCAAAGATGTTATTTAACATGAACTAATAACATGACCTCCTCTATGTTAGGCCTGTCTGCCTCTGATTGATGACCTGAGCAGTTCAGCCATGAGGACCCGGCACTGGAAGCAGCTGGTGAGAGTGACAGGCGGCGCCCTCACCATAGACAATGACACCCTGAAGAGGATGACGCTTGGAGAGCTCCTCAGTCTGGGACTACAGAGTAAGTTGGGGAAGATGGCTGGGGTCTGGTGCCAATAGAGGAGTACCTCAGCAACCTGTGCTTGTTGTAAGAGATGACATAGGTCAGACTTGGTGACTTGTGTGTCAGAATACGCCATTGTTGTTCATTATATCAATCATTGGTTGTCTGATCCAGACTTGATTATTGACAGCAGCAGTCTTAAAATGCAGGATTAAACAAACAACAAACAATGAAACAATATGATCTTGTCTGTCAACATCTTCATATGTTCTTATACATTTCACCAAAGATTTTATGACCAGTATCACATAAAGCTTCCCTCCAACATCAAGCCAACACACTGGGATGTACTGAGGTGTTGACAAATTACTCATAGGGCTTTCAGAAATTATAGTTCCTATGGATACAAAGCAGTCATGATATCATTGTAAACCAAAAGTCACTTTGTTCTTTAATCTGATTGGTTGAAAAAACGTGGTCAAATGGTATTCGATTCCCGGAAATTCGCTGCGTATTAATACATGCAAACATTGCTCACACCATTGTATTGTTACGTCGTCAGCTGTGATGACGTCATTAAAATCATATTGTGACGTAAAGTCCGAATGACGTCACAAATGAGATGTTCCAGATGCTACCATGGGAAACAGCCGAAACGGCCAGCTGATGACATTTCACTGCTGTACCCTCCGGCTGATGCCGTCGGTTCCAAATGAATTCTCGTGATTCAAATACTCAATAACACCCGGAAATTGGCCAACACATGATGTTTATTTCCTAATTGCAACAAATTATCAATGTTGGCTTTCATCAGACCATAAAATAAGTTGGCTTTCATCACGCCATAAAATAAGTTAATAAGTTGTGCAAATAATTAGATTTTGCAACTCATACCTCACTTCTTTCATGTGTGTGCAAGAGTTAACAATGATGTAATACATGGAGTATTCTTTGAATTGTTAAAAATTAAACTATGGTTTGATTTTCCAAGAAAACAAAGAATTTCCCAGTTACAATGCACTTTTTGTCCAAAATCTCAATCGAATAAATTATTTGAAAGAATTTAGAAATTGCTTTGTCAAAACCTGACAGTATGGCATCTGTATTTCAGAGCATGTTGATGACGTGAGAGCTATTGTACAGAGAGCAGTGAAGGATCTGTCCATAGAGCAGTCCCTGAAGACATACGAAGAGGTCTGGCTTAGCAAGATATTCGAACTCAGGCCTCACGTCCGGAGTAAAACAAACTCCTCTGCTTCAGATGTGCCAGTAAGTAGTGCAGAGAACCAATGGTGTCAACACAGGTTTAGAATGGTGATGCATTTGGGGAAAAAAAATGGCACATATAACTTGGTAAATGAGCCAAAAGGCTAGGTATTACAATGAATAAGTATCCTTGTTGATTCAGGAATTGATGTCAGTATGGATTTTGCGTTCATAGATTAAATATATTGTGCATTCTGTGTTAATCAACTTAGTACTTTGGTCAGAGGAACAGTGAGTGTTTTTCTCAGCTCTAGAAGTATACAACTTTCATCTTTGATAAGAGGTGAGGTGAGGTGAAATTGGGTTTAACGTCGTTCTTGAGAATATTTCGCTCATATGACGACGTGCATGCGTGTTAATGTGTATGTGCGGCTGCTTGTACTAGCCCAGACTGAAGCTGGTTTTATAGTGCTAGCCCACTGAGATACCATGCCGCAGTGAAGCATAGATATCTCACTCAGACACATTATACTGACTCCGAGCCGACCAGTCCTTGTTGAACCCATTAATGCCAAGCGCCAGGCAGGGACCAACAAGTACCATATTTTAACATCTTTTGGAATGACGCGGTCGGGGATCGAACCCACGACCTTCCGCTCTCCAGGCAGACGCTCTAACCATAACACCACAGAGGCGTTCTCTTTGATTAGAGGCGGTAAGGGTAGCCTAGTGGTTAAAGTGCTCGCTGGTTGTGCCAAGGTTCGGGTTTGATTCCTCATAAGGGTACAATGTACATTTCTGGTGTTACTTGATTTTGCTGGAACATTGCTAAGAATTTTACTCACTCTCTCATTAATGATTACACATGTCTGTGTTACCAGGACAACCAGAGCGAGTATGGCCAGAGTGATGCTGGTCAAGGCCAGCAGCTCCAGGCCGGCAACTCACAGCCCAGTCGCAGTCAGGTGCGCACCACCAGCCGCATCTCCAACCAGAGTTCCCACAGTCGCAAGAGAAACAGTGTCTGCTCTCTGCCTGCCTCCCTGCTTAACATGGGCGAGGTGAGTAGACATCCTTGGCATTGACCATCACTGATCTTGCTACAAATAGTGTTAGTTAGACTATGTAATAAAATCAAATGTTTTACAGTTTCTTTATTTTTATTGTAAACGTTAGATTCCTCATAATTCTTAAGTTTATCATTGTTACTATAATCCTTTGTTTTATAAGGTTTGTTTATTTCATAATTTTACAGTTTATCGTTGTTATTATAATCCTCAGATTAATAAGGTTTGTATATTTTATAATTCTTCAGTTTATCGTTATAATTATAATCCTTAGATCAATAAGTTTGCTTATTTTATCATTCTTCAGTTTATTGTTGTTATTGTAATCCTTTGATTATTGAGGTTTGTTTATTTTATAACTCTTCAGTTTGATCATTGTTATTATAACCTTAAGATTAATATGGTTTGTTGGTTAAATAATTCTTCAGTTGGTCATCATTGTTGGTTATATAATTCTTCAGTTGATCCTCATTGTTCATTATCTAATTTTTCAGTTGATCATCATCATTGTTGGTTGTGTAGTAATTATTCTTCAGTTGATTATCATTGTTGGCTATATAATTCTTCAGTTGATTATCATTGTTGGCTGTATAATTCTTCAGTTGATTATCATTGTTGGCTATATAATTCTTCAGTTGATTATCATTGTTGGCTTTATAATTCTTCAGTTGATTATCATTGTTGGCTATATAATTCTTCAGTTGATTATCATTGTTGGCTGTATAATTCTTCAGTTGATTATCATTGTTGGCTATATAATTCTTCAGTTGATTATCATTGTTGGCTATATAATTCTTCAGTTGATTATCATTGTTGGCTATATAATTCTTCAGTTGATTATCATTGTTGGCTATATAATTCTTCAGTTGATTATCATTGTTGGCTGTATAATTCTTCAGTTGATTATCATTGTTGGCTGTATAATTCTTCAGTTGATTATCATTGTTGGCTGTATAATTCTTCAGTTGATTATCATTGTTGGCTATATAATTCTTCAGTTGATTATCATTGTTGGCTATATAATTCTTCAGTTGATTATCATTGTTGGCTATATAATTCTTCAGTTGATTATCATTGTTGGCTGTATAATTCTTCAGTTGATTATCATTGTTGGCTGTATAATTCTTCAGTTGATTATCATTGTTGGCTATATATTTCTTCAGTTGATTATCATTGTTGGCTATATAATTCTTCAGTTGATTATCATTGTTGGCTATATAATTCTTCAGTTGATTATCATTGTTGGCTGTATAATTCTTCAGTTGATTATCATTGTTGGCTGTATAATTCTTCAGTTGATTATCATTGTTGGCTTTATAATTCTTCAGTTGATTATCATTGTTGGCTGTATAATTCTTCAGTTGATTATCATTGTTGGCTATATAATTCTTCAGTTGATTATCATTGTTGGCTATAAAATTCTTCAGTTGATTATCATTGTTGGCTATATAATTCTTCAGTTGATTATCATTGTTGGCTATATAATTCTTCAGTTGATTATCATTGTTGGCTGTATAATTCTTCAGTTGATTATCATTGTTGGCTTTATAATTCTTCAGTTGATTATCATTGTTGGCTATATAATTCTTCAGTTGATTATCATTGTTGGCTATATAATTCTTCAGTTGATTATCATTGTTGGCTATATAATTCTTCAGTTGATTATCATTGTTGGCTATATAATTCTTCAGTTGATTATCATTGTTGGCTATATAATTCTTCAGTTGATTATCATTGTTGGCTATATAATTCTTCAGTTGATTATCATTGTTGGCTGTATAATTCTTCAGTTGATTATCATTGTTGGCTGTATAATTCTTCAGTTGATTATCATTGTTGGCTATATAATTCTTCAGTTGATTATCACTGTTGGCTATATAATTCTTCAGTTGATTATCATTGTCGGCTGTATAATTCTTCAGTTGATTATCATTGTGGGCTATATAATTCTTCAGTTGATTATCATTGTTGGCTATATAATTCTTCAGTTGATTATCATTGTTGGCTATATAATTCTTCAGTTGATTATCATTGTTGGCTTTATAATTCTTCAGTTGATTATCATTGTTGACTATATAATTCTTCAGTTGATTATCATTGTTGGCTGTATAATTCTTCAGTTAATTATCATTGTTGGCTGTATAATTCTTCAGTTGATTATCATTGTTGGCTGTATAATTCTTCAGTTGATTATCATTGTTGGCTGTATAATTCTTCAGTTGATTATCATTGTTGGCTATATAATTCTTCAGTTGATTATCATTGTTGGCTATATAATTCTTCAGTTGATTATCATTGTTGGCTATATAATTCTTCAGTTGATTATCATTGTTGGCTTTATAATTCTTCAGTTGATTATCATTGTTGGCTATATAATTCTTCAGTTGATTATCATTGTTGGCTGTATAATTCTTCAGTTGATTATCATTGTTGGCTGTATAATTCTTCAGTTGATTATCATTGTTGGCTGTATAATTCTTCAGTTGATTATCATTGTTGGCTATATAATTCTTCAGTTGATTATCATTGTTGGCTATATAATTCTTCAATTGATTATCATTGTTGGCTGTATAATTCTCACAGTAGGTTTGATTTTCCTTACTATTGTTATACCCTTCGATATAATTTCCTTGTGAGTTTTAATGTTACAAACATGATATTTTCAGACCGTTCAGATCTCAATCTTTGATTGCTGATTTTAGGACTCTGGATTACTGTATCTGTTGACGATGACGGAGTCGATATTTGATGAGCTGGAGAGCCACCAGGTGTCGCTGCAAGCCATGCAGAGCAACAGTGCAGCTGGCTCCTTCCTGGACGAGGTGCTCAAGTGGCAGAAACGGCTCCAGACCATCGAGGCAGTGCTAACTACCTGGCTGGAGGTACAGGAGAAGTGGGTGGAGCTCGAGGAGGTATGTCTAATAGTAAAATGTTGTAGTTGTGTAAAAGAAACTAGGCTTAGGATATATCAATCTGGCTGTTGATCATTCCATTTGTAAAGTGTCTTTTGCAGTGTGCGAAATAGCCACTGGCCCGCTAGCCCATGGCTAGTAAAAATCCATTCGGGCCAGTAAATCTCCACAGTCACTGGCCCGACTGGCGAGTGAACTTTCATGGTGTCATTTTGTAAATATATCACTCTCACCGACTTAAAGTTATAATGCACTTTTAAGTCATACAAAATTATGGCATGATAAAAATGTTCATCATATTAGCAGCTTAATGATGAAACCTGTGTCATGCCTACAATATCTTATTCTCATCTAAATTTCGGGCTAGTGAATTATTTTGTAGGCTAGTAACTTTCAGGCATAGCTAGCCCGACTGGCTAGCAAACTCTGGAAACTATTCCACACACTGGCCTCATGAATTCATTATCTAGATGGTGTCTAGGAAATGGAAATTATCTTACATAGATGTCTTCCTAATAATGTCATGTACATAATGTATCACTTGTTACATCATCTGCATGATAACCTGGAGGGGGCTACAGGCAGAATAGTGCCTGTTTGGTCTATTTTTGTATCGTTTTCTTTCTTTGAATACACAATGCCATTTAAAAAGTTACGGTTAAATAATTGCCGTGACAAAAGGTTTAAGAATCCCCTTTGAACCAGCAAAATGTAACACAGACAAGTCTAAAGATTTTCATAATATCCTGACTCATGCTCTTTTTGCTTGTCTCCTTCCTCTTGCGAACATAGTGGAACACTTGTATCTCCCTAATTGAAGTTCCTTCAATGTAAAATCACTAATTAGTACACCACGAGTTACCTCCCTTCCCACAAGCGCGGGAACGAGGGCTTTCACCTCTACCCATGTGCCTCACTCTCTCCTTCTTAGCCCAGTGAGCTGGGCGTGAGAGCGCCTGTGTCTCCGACACACTATATCCTTTGATTATATTTAGTTAGTTACCTCGTATAGAGATCTATAGAGGTTTAGCTAGTATCTTTCAACAATTATATATTGATATTTAGTCGTGTTTCTACTGTTTATGCACGGGGCCGCGTGCTGTTGCAGTGGATTACGTTGATAAAAATTCTGTACTGTTGCACATTACGTTTTTATTCTGCTGCTGATCCGCATTTAATATGCCCTAGCTGTACTGCGCCATGTTTCATGTGATTCACGTTGCAGTTGCGATACTAATTTATCCAATTCTACCTTTAATAAATAATTACTTTGGCGTTTGAGGCGCGCAGCAGATGGAGTCACGCATTATGCAGAGTCTAGCATGACTGATACACCTGAACCCCTCGCCAGTCTACTGCTGTTGGTCGACCCCCTCCCGTCTGGTTTTCCGCTAGAATGGTGGAAGGCGGGGACGTAGTCCGCCCCCAAGAAGCGTCCTGCTTCCCCAGACATCCCTTCGTCGCACTGAGGGTATTCAACGAAGTCTACTAGAACTTTCTCAGCCGAAGATTGTTCTCATCGCAGATTTGGGCCTGTATGATGATCAGCCGATCATCATTCCTGATACATCAAAGAATGACTGATGTCGGCAACAGTGATGTCAGCGCAGATCAACATTCGATGATCTTCCTGAGGGTCCCGTCGCTACCAACACTCAACGCAGACTTCCCCTCGCGACCCCCAGGGCAGCGCGTCGACCTCTGAGGGGAATTCAACGAAGTCTACTAGGACTTTCTCAACCGAGATTGTTCCAGCCGCTGAACTCTTATTCCTCTACGATGATCAGCCCGATCATCATCCCCGGCGTATGAGACAAGTAGCGACCGGTGACAGCTACAATGACATCAGCAGAGATCGTCATGCAGCCTGATGTCTCTACACTGATGTCAGACGACTTACCTGAGGGCCCCACCACTAACAGCGCAGAGATGGCACCGACTACTTCGTCGCAGACCATCCCAGACGAGCTACTACGGCAAATCATGGTCGTGATGGAGGGTCACTACAGACTGGAGAAGCAGCCAGCCCAGAGTACGAGCCTTCGCGAAGGCTCCAACTTAGACAACACTCTAGAGGCACCTCCAGTCAACGTAGCAGCCAAGACGATGCAGCCTTCGCGAAGGAAGTCGCAGACCACCTTGACGAAGGACCCAGATGTACAGCCTTCGCGAAGGCGGGATAGATCATCACATTCCTCGGCTTCATCCTTAGATGCAGACTCAGCCACCAGACCTCACGGAAGCCTTCGCGAAGCTCAAATCGCCGTTCCCCAGCACCGAACGCAGAGGAAGCTTCGCTAAGCGCGAAGAAGCGTTCGCTTGAAGGCATTCGGCGAAGGCACTTTCGGGAAGGACACCCGAATATAGATCGTCATTTAACAGAGTCAAGGGACTACTCAAGAGCTTCGCGAAGCTGTCAATAGTCTCCGATCTCCTCGTACATCACCACATCGATCGCCTCACAGGTTACCACACAAGTCTGCACACAAGTCTACATCACCTTCCTAGAGTGGCAGTACGACGCAGACATACCTGATGAAGGAAGACGACGCAGATGCTATCACCCTACCTCCGATCGACCCGATTGCTGCGGTAGCACAGAATCTAGACATAGCATCCCATAAAGCTACAAAAGTTCAGACACCATAATTGCGAACTTTCACGCCTAGAAGTTTTCCACGCACAACATGGACCCCTTCTTCAAGGCTTAAGACATCGATGAAAACTACAAGTTGATCATCGATATCAACAATAAGAACTACAATCGTAAATTGGTTCAGTTGAATCCATGACGGAGACGTATGTTCGTTGGCCTAAATAGATCTAGAACGATCATTGAGACACTTATCGCCAGATTTCGTAACCGCGACTTCTGAAAATGATAAGATGATCCACTCGGCCCTACTTATGCAGAACCAGCAAGTCCCAGGTCAGCCTCGCGAAGGAGCTAGAGCCTCACCAGCTACAAGGGGACGTCGCTGAGGAGAAGCGCCACGACCCCACATCCTGTTAAACACAGAGGCCATTCGCTAAGCAAGCCTTCTATATATATATATATATTCTAATCGATTTTTGATTTCGATACCTTCGCTCAGGTCGCTAAGGCTATGTGGCTCCAAGTCTACTTCACCAGTAGATCTAGAAGGGATACTTCCGAGAGCTTCGTGAAGTCTCCGGGCGCTCACCGAGGAAGTCTCCTCCAAGGTCTCCATATACTAGCCACTCGTCATATATAGCTACTCCTCAGTCCGTTCAAGACATCGCGATAAGTTGTCTACCAACTGTATGCCAGATGCCGCCTATAAGCCTCCACGCGAAGACAATTGCACAGGCTATTTACAACACAGAACGTCGCTGTATTAATTTGTCAACGACGTTTCATAGATCTTCACAGAAATCAACTATTCCGTATAAATTGCTAGTATATGCAATCCCGGACGACGATACGATTATCTACATGCGTGACCATTACGCATATCTGCAGACAATTCAATATCGAAATTGAACAGCAGCCTTGTTACAGCCGTAGTATAACTCATAATCGTCAACATTTCTGAGAAGAAATATGTACAACAAATTCAGCTTTAATTCTACAATTATGACGATACATTCATGTATACAGTCTACAAGCTGACAACTTACAAGTTATTGTACCTTTATATATAAAGAAGTCGGAATTATATTCAAAACTGAAGCACTTTCTACACGACAGCCAGGAAAATAACCTACCCAGCATTAATATTACAGAGCGAGGTATTTTGCGCCGAAGCTTTCGCGTGCGCTTACCATTAATCCTCTAAACACGTGGTCACTCGGGTAACTTCGGGAAGTTGACGATGAAGACCGACGATTGTTCTAATATCAACGACGCACTATATTATACAAGGTTCCTTTTCCTGCTACACCGGTGACATCACAGCTGGTACTCTACAGAATCAAAATGCCTTATTCTGATTGGACCTCGATGAACAACGCCTCTACACAGAGGTCGAGCATAGTTCACAGTTCAAGACATAGGTTGCAAGTGACAACTTTATATCAATGAACGAAAGCAAGCCTCCTTACAGCCCAGTTAACCTTGAACCTTCATGATTAGGCTGCTTTCTTCAGGTTAGAGACCTCCCCTGTCAAGTTTAGACAAGGGCACAGCAGTCAGGCGATTTTACATAAAGTTCATCGAGGACACAAACTCCCGGTTGTGCACATACATCGCCAAGGACATCGCGAACGATTTACCTAGACGACGCGATACAAGTGGATCGAAATCCACAGCTTCAGACTACACCTGAATTTCATCATCAAGCTACTAACACAACTAGATGGTTAGTAAACCTACTAAGTTTCTGTTTGGAGAATAAACGGAAGTTTCACGTACTAACTTGGGATATGAATATAGTGCTACAACACCTCACAAGTGAGGTTTATGAACATGCCTGGATGACATACTTGGACTCCATGATACGATGATGCTATCACGCTTGGCCAGCAAGAGCACTGTAAATTTATCTCCACCAAACTAAACAGGAAGAAAAAATACAACAGATTTTTTTCCTCTATCATCAACTTACGCAGAGTGTAGTCTCACGTGACTATATCTCCGTTTGGATCAGAACTGTCATACTACGTGCATACAAGACAGATGGACCTAATCCGACCCTCCATGAGCTTTAATACTCTTGATATTAGAGCTAACTTCTACAATTTCATCTACACAAATGTTATTTGAAATAATGGAGGGTTTATTACTGTAGATCCGATATGGTGGTTGCCAACCATTATGTGAGAGATATCACCACCGAGGACATCTCAGGTATCCACCAATTTGATCCCATGGTCCTTGCACAACAGTTGACAGTTCCTCGGAGAAGATAAGTCAATCTTACAGATTTTTACTTATCTTATAACAGTACTAAATAGCTTCATGCTATATATAATTTGCTTAAGCTCGTTTTTTATCATCACAGTGGTTACATGATAAATGCATTAGCTAACAAACTCTA